GGTATAAACGGCTGAATTACCGTCAGATGGAAAGGCTACGACGCGCGCGCACGACCAGTGGGTCCGCTTCGACCGCGTCTTCGCCCTGGAGAAAATCGCGGAGTTCTATCGTAAGTACCCTGGCAAACCACGGCACATCGCCTCTGCAACCTTCGACTCGATTCCATTCCGGTCTATGCGTCGGGACGCCGCATTCAAAGGGGGGGGTGATGTCAGGGGAACCTCCCTTTCGGCCCCTCGGAGACGATTCCGATTCCGGTCCGACTCCGGTTCCGACTCCGGCGATCGCATCACCGCCTCCGTCAGGCGCATCGCCGCCCCCCGCCTGGCGATCCCCCTGGGACCTGGCCTGCGACATGGCGCAGGCATACTGCACGGAGCAACGATCAACCTTGGCGCGTCAAGAGCGCAGTATATAGTTCCGCTACCTAGCAGGCGGACCCTTAGAGTTTCTTCTCTTTGGATCCTCCCCTGCTAGGTCAGCCTCACTTGTATTTGCTTACTTCTATTCACTCTTTGGATCCTCCCCTGCTAGGACCTTGATCTCAGGCCTCCGGGGTTGCCCTTACACATGTACTTACTCTGTTCCCTCTGTTTTTAGAGCCAATGTGCTCCACGAAGGGCGGGAGGCGATCCTCAACCTAAGATGCTTTGGATCTGCCGGTGCAACACTTGAACTCCAATCTTCCTGCGGAGCTTTTTAATCACCAACGCGATGCAATCCTCTCAATGTGCCTGCATAACCTTTCCTCACTGTGAAATCGGACAGTAAACGGCCACTGGCATGTCGAGTCTTTCATCCCCAGAGTCAGCGTCAACAAGTCCGAGTCCTCAAGCCAACCATGTTAGCGAGGCATTCTTGTATGCACGTTCCCTGCGCTTGCCAGTGCTCACATTCCTCAGATTCTGTTCGGTAGCACCTCCTCATCTTCATTTTTGTCATGGCGGAGTGCCGACGGCGGCGGCAAAATAGACGGCTAATCCGCACCTCTGAAAACGTTCTCGACCAAGCACACCCAAGTGCCGAGATGACTCCCCGTTTGTTGGATGCCTATCTCAACCTTACCTTTTCAAAAATCGATATTCAATGGTTTTCAATCCAAGTATGCCATGATTTCAAAGCTAGTTCAATGTCGTTGACTCCCTTTGAAAATTTATAGCCACTTTCTCTGTCTGTCCCAGAGTCAGAACCTTCCGTCCCGACTACAAAAACTCCCTGCACACCTTGGTGTGCTCAGCAAAAAACTGGTATCGACTGCCTGGATATATCCACGCTCCACAAGAGTAATACAACGTCTTCCGAGAGCTATGCTTTCGCTGATTATCTGAATTGTCCCCTTCAATTTCAAGTTTCCGTCCTTATTGCGATGCCGGGAACGAGTTTTATGCCCCGTGGATCTGTAAACGGAGACCTTGCCGTCGGAGTACTTCATTCACATGTTAACCCACTATAGCATATCTTACCATACACTTTCTCTTTAGTGATGAATTTCTGTCCTGATATGGCAACCGGCCTGCCATATCGAGTAACTGTCAAAGACGCTTGACCCGATCCTTCATCTTCAGTAAACATGGCGCATCCCGAGCTGCGCCAGCTCCTCGTGAAAGTCGAAACAATATACGAAGACTTACAGCACTTCCGACCTCTGGCATTCTCACCGCCCATTTTGGACTCGTCCGCGTCGGTTGACGCAGACAAGGATGATGATGTCCAATGGCTGAGGCAGGAGGCCGTCCCCGGCATAAAGAAACTACGGGAGTCAATAAAGTACGATATCGATTTGCTCCAAAAGGTGCGTGGTTTCCGACCGCTGTCTTCTCGGTTAACTCATCTTCCTTCGACTCCAGTAGTTTCTTTCTGATCCCAAATCGGAGAGCCAACCACCCATCAGCACGCATGCGCCTTACCTACTGGCCGTGTATAACGAGATTCTATGTGCCCCGTCGCCCGTAACTTGGGTCTTCAAGTTTGTCACAAGGACGAAAGACGATGTCAAGAGTCGTTCGATTCATAAAGATGGAGGGGAAGGGACTCGGAAGGGTCAACAAAGGCAGAAAGAAAGGCTCTCAAAGTCAGATAGGAAAGCAGCAGCCAAAGCTCATAATGCAACTCTTGACCCCCCGGGCCAAGACCGTCGCGAGAAGGGAAAGCGCGTGCCAACAACCAAGATAGATGTAGTCGCGGAGAACGGAAAGCGATGGATTCGCGTAAATACGTACGTTTTTACTCCCTATCATCCCGCTCTCCCTCTGAGTTAAGCCGCAGCATAAAGATGTCTGGCATTCTTGCCGAACTTCGCGAAATAGACTCATACCTCACTGACTCTGATTCCAACCCCGACTCTGATGACCCTGACCATCTCGGACCCAGCCTGGCCCAAAAAGAGTTTGACAACTCCGTACTCCAAATGGGACGTGGTCTGTTGGAAGCGGCCGCGGCCCATCCCGTTGACGGCCCTAATGGCCCGCACCCTCCCCGAATAACAATGCGCCTAACGCGACTCAACATATCGCCAGCTAACGACCCACGAATAGCGCAAACAGTGCAAAATCTGCGTGACATGGGCATCGACGTTGAACTCGGTGAACGACACGCGGACGACATTCCCGCTCTCCAACCCGCTCCACCACTTCCCACTCTCCAAATAACGCCGACAAGACAAATCAACCTCGACCTTTCGGTGCTTGTCGCAGTCGTCTCTGATCTGACCCACTCACCATTGCCGACTTCGGTTGAAGAGGCCACCACGCGTTTTCTGCCGCCCCAGCAGTATCGCGACTGGCGCCCACAAACAGGGGAAGAAGCCAAATCCACGACAACGAAGCAGCAAAACGGGGAGTCTGAAGGGCCTTCTCAAGATGTGCTAAGACACAGTCGGGCATTGACAATGCATGTCCTACAAGAAATGCGGCAGGGTTTCCTGCAGGAAATATACGACCGTCTCCCCCTCGCAAGGGGCGCGGACTCTGACGGAGGAGTGGAGTTCTGGACCAGCGACGAGGCAAAGGAGCGTTGTTTGCGTATTGTTTCGCGAATTGGTGGCCCGCGAGAGATTCGACGTGCCGAGGCACTATTTGTAGTGCATGGAATACCGTTGGAGGAGGCAGAAAGGCTGTTCTGGGCCGAGTCACGTTATCCCCAGCGGTTTGTGCGGCTGTTTCCCATTCGGATGTACCCGGCGAGGGACGAAATACCGCTAGAAGGGGCTCCGAAACCGCACGGCAAATTCTTTCAAGCGTTGACACGTGTATGTCGCGAGCTTTTGGCGCATGTAGAAGTAGGAGATGGGGCGGAAGACGAGGGCCATGGTCATTTGTCCAAAGCAACTTCGCGGCTATCGCCTCATGCTGTCAAAAGCATGTTACGTGGGGCGGAGCTGGGCTGGACGACACTGACAACAACGAAATCGAGTGTCAAATCGCTGTTAAGGGAGGTCAAGCTCGCGAGGTTGGATGGCTGGTTGGGCGATTCGGTTAACGATGATGTGCCACTCAGTGAGCATGAGTCGAAGGCTGCGTTGTGGATTGTAGACCCACGAAACCTGCAGTGTTTTGCGTGATTAACCCTTAGACCTATCTTGTATGTTTTGCTTACAAACACCATTATATGCTGCGGCTATACGGTCCTTAAGATTCTGAAGCCCCCAACTGTGGTGTCAGAGCCTGTGAAGCTTCAGTCAAGAGCTGAATGGGCGGATAATTGGGATCCATTTATGTTCAAACCTGCTATTACTAAGAACCTTTCCATTTAACCGGCTTGTTCTATAAAAAAGAGAAGAGGGTTCGCCAACAGCACTCCACATGGCATCTTCACCACTGCCGTCACGTATCGCGCTAATTACTGGCGCCAACAAAGGCATCGGTCTCGAAATCGCGCGACAAATCGCAGCCAAAGGCGGTTACCATGTCCTTCTTGGTGCTCGCGACAAAGATCGAGGCGAGCGAGCGGCAATAATACTCCAGGCTGATGGTCTTTCTGTCGAGTTCATCCAACTTGACGTGACAATGGACGCGTCGATCGCTGCAGCAGCAAAGACGATTTCCGACAAGTTCGGGCGACTCGATGTTTTGGTAAACAACGCGGGGATCGCAATTGACAGCTGGGACCCCGCTGTACCAATCCCTCCGCGAGACGTCTTTGACAAGACATTTTCGACCAACACAACTGGCGCGGCGATGGTCACGGAAGCCATGGTCCCGCTCCTCTCCAACGCTAAAAACCCCAATGTCGTCTTCGTCTCAACTGACATGGGCTCCCTCGGTATATTTGCTGATCCAAATGGCCGCTACAAGGACATGCCGCTTTATTTTGCCTCGTACCGCTGCAGCAAAGCCGCCATGAACATGCTTGCGCTTGTTTACGCTGCCCGTTTCCGAGGTGAGGGATGGCGAGTCAATGTGCATCATCCAGGGTACATCGCGACGGACTTGAACAGCAACCAGGGGTATGGCACTGTCCAAGAAGGGGCGAGGAATGCGGTCAGGCTGGCGACACTGGAAGGGCAGGGCGGAGAAAGCGGGAAGTTCTCGAGTAGCGACGGCCCAGTGCAATGGTAGTCCTTGAATCTTGCTATCGCAGAAGGAGTCTGATAGTTCGAACGGCGCGTTGTGAGGTTAGGCTTAGGTTAAATGGAAAAAATCTTGTTTTTTGAGCCGAGCTTCCGAAAATCAATGGAGCCTTTCTCTCGAGAGAGTCATAGAAGGATCAATAGGAGTAGAGAAAGAAGTGATGAGAAATACGAGCCTGCACCCCATCGAGGGTGGGTTCAAGTTGCAAGTGAACGTTTGTTGACGTGCCTGTCGATAGTCACGTGCACGAAAGTACTGAACTTGGAACAGGAACACCCCACTGACAGTCTGACTGCCAGGATACGCAGGACTCGGAGCATCTATAAGATGGCCGTGAAACAACACCAACTCGACTTTTATTACGGGTGTCTGTAAGTATAGACGCTCGGCGACCCTTCTTTCCTCCCCCCATTTCTTCGACCCGTGCTGGCATGGACGCCCCCACCACTTTCGCAGTTCTGGGTAACCAGCCTTCAGTGACGCTGAGCACCAGCACCAGCCTCATCGTCACGAATTCACCGGTCCCTACGGTAATAAACGGGGTTTCGACAACTATCAACGTCCCAATTACTTCGGCTTTACTTGCTTTGGTGCCTATTGGGACCAGCCCGAGTCCCAGTGCTCGCCACCTTCCAGCCAGGTAAGACATAGTATCCCACATTTGACTCCAGCTAATGAAATATACTCAAGGCTGTCCGCTACTCAGGTTGTACTCATCGTCTTCACCACTGTGGGATTTCTGCTAGTGCTTGGTCTCGTTGTTCTCGTAAAACTTCGGCGGCGCAGAGCGCGGACACGAGAAGAGCAGCTGGCTGCCCAAGAAAACAATATCGACCCATTCGTCGATACGAGACGACCGCCGTCCAACTGGGTCTCGTTCATCAATAACTCTGAGCCCCCGGTGGCAACGGACCTGTCGCGCTCCAGCACCATGGCAACACGCCAGACGTACATCTCAAACGAGATGCATAGAGCGAGGGAGAAGATGGCGGAACTGGAACAAGACTTGCGCCTTTCGCAGGCGAGCGCAAATAATGTTCAAGTTGTAACCAGTGGCAGTACGATCATCGCCAACTCCGAGCAAGAGCCGGTAATCGAACAAGGACTGGCTGCCGCGATGCAGCAGATCGAGCAACTCAAGACGAGGATTCGACAGCTGGAGTCACAACGCCGATCCTCGTGGGCCACAGGACGGAGCGATGTGCCTCCGCCAGGATATTATGAAATCGTTTGATGTGAATGCCAGTGAAATGATTTTGGCAGGCTTTGATATTCCACCTCCAAGCTTCAACACTGACGGTCCACACCCACAAGTTCTGAATCACGCCACCCCCGCCTCTGGTGAAGCCAACTTTCAGTCGATTGCATCCCGTCAGGGGTTGTGAAACGCGTTGCAATTGGTTGGCTACCTTATAAATAGACAGGCGTGCCGCTGCCAACAACGCCCGGATTTGCCTGAAGCTTCTCGAGCGGCACTATGATGAATATAAAGTCCGAGTGATTTGGACGCTGGAGGGGAAACTTTGGTGTAAAGCACCTTATTTTCCCTTCTGAACGCGGGGCACCATGCTGGCCATGGAGCCGTTTAAAAGTCGCATGTGAGCTCAGTGCATAATGAGTATGGAAATAAGATCAGCTTACCGCAGAGATAGGTCTGTCGTTTGGGTGGCTTCGATACTGTTCCAGATACACAGCTCAATGGGCGCTGCGATACCGTCTTCCGAGGCTCGACTCAAGTATAACCTTGAAATCACAATTGTAGAAGGATTGATGTTGTTCGCAGAGTTTTTAACGAAAAACGAGCCGGAGACCAAGCACGAGGAATGGGCATCGCAGATGTGGTCATCGTCGGCCTGCTGCTCGTCCTAATACCGCTGACCATTGCGCTTATACTTCGATGGAGGGCTGGAAGGCTCGCGCGTGATCGTTCCCCTCCAAAGGAGCTCGAAAGCAACGATTGCACGCAAATTTTGGACCCATATTCATCTTCGGACGACGGATCAGTCGATTTAGAGCCCCAACAACGGGCGTCATGGGCGTTGTTTATCGGCTCTAAAGATGAGAATGCACTGTCGCGGTCAAATACAGCGACGACGCGGCAGTTGTATGTCTCCAATCAGGCGCGGCGGGCCCAGCAAAAGGCTATTGAGCTGGAGAGACAGCGCGAATCGGTGGATACCGGGAGTAAAGCCAGCACTGGTGCGCGAGTTTCAACTGCATCTTCGAGAACGGCAGCTACGCTTGTGGACGGAAGCCGCCCAAGTTCAGTTATGTGGACGAAAGAGGGTGCTCCGCCTGTTCCACCGGTGGCATTGAGACTCTGAGGGGACCGTGTAGGTAGCAACTTAACCTAGATTGCAACCTGTCATAGATTAGAAATGCACTGTACTTAGGTCGAAAATATCTTGTATAAACCTGACTTAGGTTGAGTTGTTCAACCTAGGCCGCTGGTAGCATTTATACCTAAAATGTACAAATTCAACCTATGTGTTGTCCAGGGTTGTTTGGTTGGAATGCAACCAATAGTGCGTGGATTGTATCTCTTCTCAGCTTATCATTTCTCTCAATTGACAATGGTTAAATAGTATATATATATCGGCCTACATGCTACCACAGTATATCTAACCAACCCTCCGCTGATGATATCGATGGACCCTCGTATCATCGCTCGCGCGATCGGGTTTCAAAGCAAGCGCGCAGGCGTACGCGTCACTTGAAGACCTTCACGGTCCCGCATGGCCGCCAGCGTGATGTCGACGCTTGATGTTCGCTGTCGCAACAGGCAGTTTCTATTCGCGCATGCAGATTCACTGGGTGTCGTTGACAAACGGTAGAAGACTGAATATGTGGTCTGACAACTCACCGGCTTCACATCGGTTGATGACTGGTGTTGCTGAATTTGGGGAGCGGAACGTATGGTGTTGCTAGTAGAACGAGGAGGGGTTTGAGAGGAAGTGTTATGACGCTTGAAGATGGGATGAAGCGTCAGCCCTGAATGCATTGAGTGGGCTTGAGGTGCTTGATACGTGTCGACGTCTTGAGGTTGTTGCTTGAAGCAGCTTGTACTTGATTTGATATCCATGGGCTTGATGTGGGTGTCTGTGCATTGTTTGCCGGAGATAAGGCCGGGAGTTTGCTGGCTCAGGACGTAGGGTGAGGCCGCCGAGATGGAAGCAATGGGAGACGTGTGGGTGGGGGCCTCCATGACACGCAGGATCCAGGGGCGAATCGCTTTGTGACACGGGGCAAGAGGGGAGGCGGGAATGGCAAGAAAAAGAAGGCGGACTCGCACTTTGGAGTACCGAGTGAGGCCACAATGCGAGCAGATGCTGATCCATTGAATTCTTGAGCAGTGCTTGGGTGGTCAAGGTTGTATGCACCAGAGATGGTAGGGGAAGCGCTTGTTATCGGAGAGAGGGCCGCGACGTTGAGTCTGCCATGAAGGCCGAAGAGACAACCAACCACTGTGACTGACACGTTGTGTCACAAGTCCACGCTTGTCCGTCACGTGCTATCAACAATGCATCTTCGACCCCGTTTACATCCAGTAGCGCATGAAGGCACTAACCCTCCGTCTGATACCATTCTCCAAGGATAAAAAAGACAGGAAACCGCTGTATCTGGCCGATGCAAGCGAATGTGATGAATAACAGGTACGTATCAGTCTCTCACGCTCAAGCCATGCTCACTTCGTTCCTCGACCAACCCATTACTCGCTAGCGTCGCTGTCGTCGTCTGCCCCACTAGTACCTTGGGCGCCAGCCATACTGTCTTCGTCTTCACTGCTGCTTTCAATGCGCAGTTTCTCCTGCTTGTCTTTCGACTTCTTTTTCTTCATTGCCTTTTTCGACGCCAACTTGACGGTCTTCGCTTTCCCGATGGTCCCAGCACGTCCCCGTGGCTTCGATTGGTCGCGCTTTGCGGCGTTAGCCTGGAGGTGGTTGTATTTCTCCGACCGGACAAGCAAGCCAGCTTTGTATGCCTGGTTGCGTTTACTATGGCAGTACTGGCGGAGCAGCTTCTCGCTGGCCCAGTCATTCTCAAAGCGCTCCAGATATGGATGGTGCTTGCGCATCTGAAGTGGCTAGTGGTGAGAAATTGTACTTCTCCTGGCCAAATAATGACGCACCAGCAGGAATGCTTTTGTCTTGTAGTCCGGATGGATGTCAGCCCAAGCCTTATGCCAGGGTAGCTGAACCTGGGCTGTAACTTCATGACCGGTGCGCTAAAATAGTGTTGCAGATATCACAAGGGGAACAGAGAGACGCACGACAATGGCATTGTACTGGCCGACGTCTTGTGCGTCCTTGGGATTGAATCTCATCGCAATCATTGTTGGCATGCCCGATTTCGGGGCTGGAATAAGAGCCTTCTCGGCATCATCCTCGTGGGCTCCAGCAGTGTTTTTGGCATGCTGGGCGGCTTTCTTCAAGGTTATATTCTCTTCACGAAGACGACCTTGCGGAGAGGTAAGCAATATTTCGTGATTTATGTGACAACTTACCGACTTCCTGTGCCCAGTATTGTGCCTCCTCCTCGATGCTGAGCTTTCCTTCGATGTCTTTCTTTAAATTTGTTCCATTGACTTCCACTTGTTCAGTGTTCTTTGATGCTGGGGCGGCATCGTTCGTACTTTGGGTTGCGATAAGCTTTTGGAGCTTTGCAATTTCCTCTGAGGGCAAGTACATCCTTGTCAGCGGAACAACAATAGTAGCTGATCACATACTAGCTTGTTGCTCATTCTGACGCGCATAGCTAACAATCTCCATCGTGTTCGTCTCCTCCAGATGATACTTTGTTGTCAACAATTCTTCAAACCGTTCGAAGTCGCGCCAAAATGCCTTGTCGCTCATCTGGACGCCACCATCATCATCCTTGTTCGCATTCGGTGCATTGTCTATTGGGACTAGTGGTGCTTTCGACGCGTCCTTGGTCGACAGTGAGTCGGTTTTCTTCGTACGGCTTTTGCCACGTTCAGGGGCATTTTTTGCTAGTGCAGCTGCTTTCGTAGGATCAACTGGCTTGCTTGCACTCAGCACGAGCTTGACCGCTTTCGCCATAGTAGGATGATGGACTGGGAAGGGAATGAGAGACTTGTCTCAGACTTTGTAATCTGTGACAACGGAATGTGATGTTGTTTCCCCTCTTCCTTCTCAAGCTTTCTAGCGCTCGTTTTTGAACTCTGCATGCTTGCTATGTCAACCAATCCACCAAATGGCAAAGTCTGGTGCAGCCACTGCAACTCGTGGTGTACCCGACGCCGAGAACGTGAACATCGGCGCCTTGGCTATATTCCCCATCCTGCCTTGACTGACGTCGACACTGATCTTCCACCTCGAATGCTCGTTTCTGGCCCTAATTCAGAGCCTGAGGATGATAATTCTCCAATGGCCACTGATGGTATAAATGAGACGGAGACGCCGACAGCACCAACAATCGACACCGATATTGATGTCGACTATCCTTTCATTCATGGTGAGTCTATATATGCACTACTACTCATACTAAGCCAAGGTCTCGCCAGATCAATCTCCACTCAATCCCTCCATACCCAGCCCCGATATTGAATCTACGATTCTCCGACATCGGTCATTAATTGACATAGACGATGAAGATGATGACAGCGACAATCCGGGGGAAGATATCCTTGGAGACAGTCTTGACGACACCATAGCTGTCCGTACAGAGGACAGTGATGCCGAAGACTCCGAGGATGAACCCGATATCTTCGACTGGGACTCGTTTGAGTCTAATGAGTTAACGCCAGAAGAGCTAGCAAGAACAGGAGTTGAACGAGAGCTGGCAGAAATTGGTATGTTATCTTGCGATGCTTGAACAAACACTTATTCTTTAACCTAGCCCATAAGCTGAGCGAATATGATCTTGCAATCTGTCGAGCGTTCGCATACAAGTTAGAAACTCACACGACCGACAAGGCATTCAAAATGGCCCAGAAGGCCTTTCGGCCTGATCCGCCACTCCCCAAGCTTGACCGTCTGCGGCGGCGAGTCGGCTTCTTGGCTGGCTTTAAGCCCCAGGTTTACGACTGTTGTATCAACTCATGTCTCTGTTACGTGGGCCCATATAAAGACCTGGAACGGTGTTCCCACTGCGATGAGCCACGTTGGCGGGCAAACGGGAAGTCACGCAAGGTCTTCACCTATATCCCAATCATTCCGCGCCTCATTGCGTTCTCCGCAAATCCCGATATGGCAGAGAAGATGAAGTATCGTGGCGCACATATACACAAGTCAGCAACAACGACTGATGTAATGGACGGGAGGCATTACCGCTCGTTACGAAAACAGCATGTGCATGTACACGGCCAGCAACTACCGCATAAGTACTTTGACGACAAACGCGATATTGCTCTTGGCGCGTCGATGGATGGTTTTGCACCTTTCAAACGTCGTAAAAAGACAGCATGGCCAGTCATTCTGTTCAACTACAATCTCCCGCCTGAGCTTCGGTTTCTTCTTCCTTTTATCCTGGCACTTGGTGTCATTCCAGGGCCAAATAAGCCTAAAGATTCCGACTCATTCCTATGGCCTATGGTCGAGGAGCTTCTCCGATTGGCACATGGGGTCACTGCTTTCGATATTCTCTCGAAGTCTATGTTCAAGCTGCGAGCATATCTTATTCTTGTTTTCGGTGACATTCCGGCTGTGTCGATGTTTATGTTGATGAAAGGACATAATGGTTTTTGTCCTTGTCGGATGTGCAAGATAACTGGGCTTCGAGTCCCCAATGGTCCAACGACACACTATGTACCCCTTGAACGCTCTCAACACCCTCTTGTGAAGGTAGACCCAAATGCTATCAAGTCGTATAACCCAGAGCAACTACCATTGCGTACCCATTCGGAAATGCTCCAACAAGGTCAGGAAGTTGAAAATGCACCCTCGACTGCAGCCGCCAATCGCCTGGCCAAACAATATGGTGTCAAAGGTGTCCCACTTCTCTCTCACCTTGATTCCCTGTCCTTTCCCGGTTCCTTTCCATACGATTTCATGCACTTGATCTGGGAAAATTTAATCAAAAATCTTGTGCTTCTCTGGACTGGCGAGTTTAAGGGGCTTGATGAAGGTAGTGGTGAATATGTTCTGGGGAAAGCCGTTTGGGAAGCAGTTGCATCTCTCGGAGCCTCAGCTGGTGACACAATACCATCGGCATATGGAAGTCGCATACCAAATTTATCGAAAGATCGTCCCAACGTCTCTGCAGAGATGTGGGGGTTTTGGACTCAGTACCTTGGGCCAGTTCTTCTTCACCGCCGTTTCCGCAAGGAGAGATACTACCGTCACTTCCTGGAACTTGTCCGACTACTCAACATTTGTCTAAAATTCGAAAATACGCGAGCGGAGATTGATGAAGTTCGGCTTGGTTTTGTGGATTGGGTTCAGAAATATGAGAAGTATTGACACTTATTTTATTAAATCAAATAATTTCTAAATATTCCTTTTACAGGTTCTATTACCAGTATAAGCCAGACTGTCTGCCTACATGTCCGCTTACCATCCATGCCCTATTGCATATTGCCGATTCAATCAAATTCTGTGGACCGGTTTGGGCTTACTGGGCTTTCCCAATGGAGCGTTTCTGTGGTACTCTCACCCCAGCAATCCGAAGCAGGCGACATCCTTGGGCTTCGCTGGACCGACACATCCTTGAGGTTGCTCAGCTGACGCAGGTCAAGATGGTATACAATGTTGTTCGTGATCTAGATTTGGACTATGATTCAGACGACGAGTCAGATTCAACTCAGGATGGCTTTTCTGACCCAGCTTGTTGCGTATTATCATTTCCCCTGATTTCCAAATTGATTATAGTTCAAGATCCAAGCTGCATTCTCCTACCACCCCGAGCGCCTCTCCGTCCAACAGAGACTCAGGTCCGAGCCATTGCGGGTGCCATCGTCACTCGCACTGGCTGTACTATCACACAGGCCAACATTGCTCTTCGACATGCACTGATTGAGGAGTATGGTCGGGTGAAACGTATCGACTCTGAGGCAGGTGACACGATGCGAAGCTCTAATCTTGGTATCCGGCCTGAAGACTCACGCGACAACACCTATATTTCTGTAGGTTGAGCAGTTTTTCAGCGCCAACCTGATTGCTGACTTAATTTATTTAGTACTATGCAATTATTGACTTAAATGCCAGAAACAAGAAGGCACCATTCAAGTATGCTAAAGAAGTGTTTTATGGTCAACTAAACCACATTTACCGTATCACATTCCCCACGGCTCTCCCGACATTGAATATCTCAGCGGCGACAACTATGATCTTTGCAGCCATCCGGACCTGTAACGTGGAACCAGTGAAGAACAAGATAGATAAGACACTGTCATGCCTCAATATCCGAATGTATTCTGGACATCGAGAGCTTGACATCATTGACATGAAGAACATTGTTGGTCTTGTCGGGCGTATTCCATTGACATCCAATCGGTGGGCAATTATTGATCGGAATGCGGTTTTAGAGCTAGCTGAATGGGAGGGTGACATAAACGCTGACCAAAGTAATAGATAGTTATAATTACTACGTGCTTGTAATCAAACTCCATAACCGCACCGCTAGCATTTAAGTTCACAGTAATAGCTTCATAAGTTGGCCCATCTGGGATATATATAGCTTCTCTTGAGCCAGCTGCGCACTCAATGGACCTCGACTATAATGCCCCGTCCGTGCAATCATTCTCTCCCGCAATGCGTCGCAAACCCTGGCGTAACTGGGTGAATGTGTGATTGACCTCCTCCCACCGAGCATAGTCATCTTCGAGCTCTTCCTCGGCTTTTGCGAGTTTGACACGGGTAAGATGAAGCTGATATTTGGTGAGGAGAAGTTGGGTCTCCATGTTGAGATTATCGTTGAGTGTGAAGTCAAGCGCAAGCGCGTCAGGACTCTCCATGAGACGGCCGAGAAGGCCCATGTGGGCGATTGCAAGATAGTCATCGTGTGAATTGATAGCTGTTAGATAGTGAGCGATGGCTACAAGAATCATTTAGGACGTGTCTTGCCTCGTTCCATTGTTGTATCAGGTACGCACACGCGATGAGATGAGGGAGAGAAGTAACACGGTAAGTCACACAGTGACACCACGCGTTACTCCAAGCTAGATTTCCGCGCACAGATTTTAAACCTATCTTTGGTCAACATGCTTGGTATAAAAGTAACCTAAGAAAACAGGTTGAATTGAATCAACCTAATATGCACCTACAATAGGTCATTATGATATTTGTGACCTATCATAAGTTGTGTTGTAACCTAATCCGCACCCATAGTGAGAGAGGAGGAAGAGTCGAGAACGGATGACAAATTGGAGGGTGCTATCCACCAGATTGCCGCACTTAAGTCGCGCATTGACGAGTTGGAGCAAGAGAGAGATGTCCCACCGCCAGTGTACTATTCTTCCAATGATGTCCAAGTTTAAGCAGGATCAACGCGCGATGTTACAACATGCTGTTACAACGTGACATCGCGGCTGTGCCATGGCCCATCGGAGTGAGCCTCAATTTTCAAAGTTCTTCTTCAACTTGAGTCAAATGTATCTGGAAACTTCAATGCGGGCTCAGCGCTCAGCGCTCACTTGGTATCTGGTCAAAAGCTCGATACAAATCTCAAGCCAGACGTCAACACCCACTGTGCGTTGTTGCACCAACTGTCGTCTCCAAGGACGTAAGTATCCCGCTGTTGCTCTGTTCCCATTCCGCTGGTTGTTGGGATCGAAACTTGTGTCCAGCTGGCTCAAATAATAATGCATCGTCGTCAAAGGCTCATTTGCTCTCACTTCCCACATGCTGGCCATGGATAGCGTCTTTTTTGTGCACTTGTTGTTTTTGGGCTATACTGGGGCACAACCAATCGTTGTAAAGTATGTGTTGATGATTATATCAAATAGTGTTCTGCCCTAACACTCCTTGTCAGCTCAGAACCACCACCCTACAGTACCTTCGATTCACAGCGGTACTTTGTCTCGGACATTCTGTTGTTGGCGTTGGTGATCTCGATTGTCTGTGCCCATTTTTGGCGCGCTGGAAGGAGCCAAAAACAAACAGCACCAGTTATTGGCATTGAATCGAATGCTGTTCAAGCCTCTCCTGCTCCAAACATCCCCGTCGTCCAACCACGCAATTCATGGACGCCATTTTTAAGGTCCAATTCGCTCTCATCCACTGAACCACTATCGCGGTCGGACACGTCAACCACGCGAGCGCTATACATTTCAAACCAGAACTATCGTGCCCAGCAGAAAGTGGCGGATTTGGAACCTGAGTCGACCGAGTTGCGGAGGTCAACGCAGTCGTTTCCTTCGACAAGATTTTCGACAACTTCTTCTCAAACGATGACCACTCTGAAACCACAGTGGACGCGTGATTTGGATGTCCCTCCTATTCCACAAGCAGTCCAGCCTGAGAGGGAGATAGAAGAGGTGTTGAGGGTACCGGGAGAGGAATATCTTCATGGGAAGCGGCAATAAAAGTCCTCTCTAAGTTATGAGTTATGACAATGATAATCCTCCTATTTGTTGCTATGTACCTCTTACCAACCTACATAATACTCTCCTCCGGTTTCTATAGCTGTGGATTTTCTGATTGCCCGCTCAATAGATCTACTGCGGTCTTGATGACAACACGGGTGGTTATGTCAAGTTTGGGAAGAATTCCTTCCTTCTCTCCATGAATGTCGTCGTCGTGGTTCCCTCCGAAGCATATACCCGCCCCAAGCACGAACGGCGACAATCACCCACTACTACCGAGCCACAATGGCGGCTCCTTCCATGACGAGGAGGACGACGACGCTATTGAGCTTGAGATGGGGCGGTTTGCAACGAATGAGCCGCAACCTGGTCTCTTATCCCGCATAAGAAACTGGCCCCCGTGGTATTTCGCCGTAGCCATCGTTGGAATGTTGGGACTTTTGTGGCTTTTACGGCCAGCAGCGCGCGAACCACTACAAAGTGCGTCAGTTTCTACACCTTTGGTATTCCTGATAATCCTTGCCCAGTCCCCCCATCTGTCTATGTCGACCACTCTGCCGCTTCGCAAGCCAAAGTCGATAGACTGCTTGCAAGGCAGTCCACAACATTTGCCCAGGCCGAGGCGCGCTACACGTTGCGGAATAACCGACCACCTCCAGCTGGATTCGATAAATGGTTCGAATTTGCGCGAAAGCACTCGTGTCTGGTCGATGACTACGACCAGATCTCACGCGACTTTGAGCCATTCTATCAGCTAGCCAAGGTCGACCCCAAATTCTTCAAGAAAATGGTCGACTCCGGCATTGCGAGCGTATGTCGTGGCCGTGTTTCGACTGTGTACCATTGACTGGCGGATAGATGCAGAAAAATGGACGGGGCTTCTCTACGGGTGTCTTCAAGGGCGACAAATTCGACTTGACCAATGAAGAAGGCACGCTTTACCGTGGAGATTGGCCACGAACTTTCGGCAGGGTACACACTCTGTGTTATTATTTCCACTACCCGCTGACTCTGTCGCAGTTCATCGATTTTCTACCCGATATGAATATCATCCTTAACGGTCGAGACGAACCACGGTCGCTGTTCAATTACCGGCAACCCGGTCTGCAAGAGAAGGCTCTCCAAGCCTCTGACAAGACCCCCTTCGAGCATTCCCCCCACCCAACATCGACTTACTTCAAAGACGATGTGCACTGCATCGTGCCCAACTCACCGAATGGCTTCACAGGGGCTGCTAACGACGCTAGTGCTTGTGAGTTCCCATAAGCTCGGCTCCTCGTGTTACTCATCCTCCTCAGTCATGCTTTATGCCTCCAGCGAGGAATTCACCACTGACCTGTATCCCATCATGAGCATGACCAAAATCAGTCCATGCTTTGCCGATATCCTTGTCCCCAGCGAGGTTTTATTTGTGCTGTCTCCATGAACGTGGCTAATATGTTGACCAGTTCTACTACTCCGACTCTGGCTGGTCACCGAAGTATGCCTTTGCCAACAACGTGAACTGGACGGACAAGATCCCGAAGCTTTGTTTGTCTGCCGCCCTTCATCCTTTCTCCTCCTAATAGTCCCTACAGATTGGCGCGGGATGAACTCGGGCGGACGAATGTATGAGAAGAACTACCACGCTTTCCCCCGATTCCGGCTCATCGACATCGCGCGCAAACAACCAGAGCTCTTTGATGTCAAGATCTCTGGCTTCCACTGGGACCTTTGCGGCGACAAATGCGATGGCAACGCGATCATCAAGGAGTACAACATCGCCAAGGTGTCCTCTCCGCGCGAGGACGTGTACAAGTACAAATACGTCTTCGATGTCGACGGCAACTCTTTCTCGGGACGATACCTGGGGCTGTTGCGGAGCGGAACGTTGGTGTTCAAGGTCTGTCTCATCTATTCTTCGCTGGTTTAATACTGACAAACGACAGTCAACGGTCTTCCTTGAGTACTTCGGCGATTGGTTACAGCCCTTCGAGCACTACATCCCCATCCGTCCAGACCTCTCTGACCTCGTCGACAAGCTCGAGTGGGCGGTTACTCATGATGCCGAGGCACAGAGGATTCAACAAGCGGGGCAGGCGTTTGCCGAGCGCATAATGACGAACGAGCAGAACGACTGCTACTTTTCACGTGTGCTGCTTGAATGGGGCAGGCTGTACACAATGGCTGAAGCAGCGGGCTCGAAGGGTAGCGACCATGCGCCGATTCCTGGTCAGCCATTGCCTGAGGCGGATGATTAGAGGGAGGATGCGATGTGTTAAAAAGTAATCTTACTGTTCTTAGTTTGTTGTTGGGTGTAATGTGTTGCTGTGTGTTGCTGTGGTTCACGTCTACGTCTCTCTGACTGCCTGGCTGTATGCACGCGTTTTCGCACAGCATATAGAGCCGACTCCTTGTCTTCGTAGAAAGTCTCCTCAATCAGAGGCTGGATGTGGGTAGTTGCCATGTTATGGCCGACAAAACTATCTTGGTGATAGTGCCGGGTAACTATGAAACGTGAGAGCTCCGGAAGCTGGGCGAGGAGCTCCATTCTTGTAGGAACTAGTTTCGCGATGAGCTGCTCGAGAGTTGCTGTCCGTGAGCAGGCGGGGAAGAACGAAGATATTTAATCTGTGAATCGAGTGCGGAAGGGCTGGCGGATGTCGACGCCCAGCCGGTGGAAGAGGGTGGTGTGATCGAATGGATGGTCTTTGTTAAGGTGTTCGTGGAACATAAGGTGATAGAGACGCGGCTGCGTCCACGCTTCCGCAACGGGAAACCATGCTTCGGCGTCCAAACGGGTATGGGTCTTGTCTTCGGTCAGGACAAGATGGCGTCGCACCAGACCTTGAACACCGTCAGCGGAGAGAATCGGTGGCTGGTCGAATTGAGAGACCGTTCTGGCTTTGATATTCGACGGTGCGAATGGCGTCCTGAAGCGAGGTCAATACGAGATTGGCAAATGGAAGGCTGGGCGCAGCTCTTAACTACTCCGCAAGGTCACGCGTTCCTAAAGAGGAAGGTCCACATGTGACCCCGCCCTCCCGCCGTCTCGCGCTTTAAACTATAGGTTAATTATTTGTTTTTGTATTAATTATGAACAAAGAAAGTGTCCCACATCTACCAAGTTCGTCGCATTGTCCGGGACAACGACTGGGTAATTTCCTTTCCACACCTCCATTATCGTTCCCTCCCCATCCCGCACCGCGCAGCCTCCAAACCAATGGCCAACACTGAAGCGGGGGCTGGGTTCTTCACATTCTCCATTGCCCCACTCAACACTACTAGTTCCACCGCCCCCATATCCACCTTCGATCCCTCTACACGGCACGGTTTTGCGTTCGACGCGGCCCATGGCTATGAGCTTGTCTTCGAATCTACTGGTCATTTTGAGACCTGGTTGCTGGACCAACGACGGACGCGCTGTGTCGAATTTCGCCATCGCATGACAGAGGCATGCAAACAGCCCGAGCACCAACGGGCATGGTTGACCCGTGCCACCTACACTTGCACCCGCGACGGTGACTCCCGTCTCAACCCGCGAGAACGGACCCGGCCTGAGCGCAAGTCCAAGGATTTCAAGAAGGAGCTTGAGGATGGATGCAGTGGCCTCATCACGATGAAGAGGTATCCCGGCACAGACCGTGTCCGTGTCAAGTATCGCGACGAGCATTCGCACCCGCTCGGCGAGGCAAATCTGCCGTACATGACTCTGTCGAAGGATGCGCGCCAGGACATTGAGCGGCGCTTGATGAATGGAGACTCGGGGAAGGCCATTGTGGGTGTGTGATTGCTCTTCTGGGGTGTATTGCTGAGTTTTTGCAGTATAATAGCATCAAGAAAACTGCAGACGAGGCATCGATTGTCGGAAGCCTCGCAACTGTGAACCGCGACCAAAAAGTGAAGATGCGCGACATTGGTCGCATTGCTGCAAGGCTCAGGGCCGAGGAGTACCGCCTGCATCCTAATGATGACGAGTCAGTGCTCGAGCATGCAAAACGGCTTCACGAAGCAGGTCACCATGTGTTCCTCAAAACGCGACGCGACGCGCCACCCGCTGGATCCGGCCTCGACACCGATGCTTTCATCCTTGTCTTCCAGACCCAGTACCAACAGCAGTGTTGGTACTATTACGGACACGACCGCTTTGCGGGTGTGGACGCCACACACAATACGACACACTACAAGAGTGTCTCGTTATTCTCGGTGGTCATTCGGGATGACTGGGGGCGGGGCGCACCGGTGGCCTTCATGGTATCTTCGAATGGCACAGAGAAGACGATACGCTTCTTCCTGGCAAAGCTCCAGTCGTGGTCGCCAGAGGTTGTCCCGCGGGTGTGGATGAGCGACAGAGACAACGGGCAAATCAATGCTGTGCTTGGCGTTTACATCACAGCTTGGCTGCTTCTCTGTCGCTGGCACGTCGTCCACGCGTGGTATCAGCACTTCAATGTGTCCGCGTATCCCAAACTCTGGGCATTGCTGAAAGACTTGGTTTATGCAGCAACCAAGGACCGATTTGATGAGCTCTGGTCCAACATCCAAAACCTTGGTGCTTCGGACTGCCCCCCCTCGGTCATTGTTTATCTCAAAGAGTACTGGATGTCGGAGACCTGGCTGCCGAGATGGGCAGCATACTTTCGTACGGGTCGTACAGTGTATCAAGAATCTGACACCAACATGCTTACTAGGGGTCTCCGGCGCATGCGCTGTAGCCAATGACCTTGCTTTCTGCCCTAGCAGGCTTGGTGTGATACCAACTAGTTTACTTGTTAGGCATCACTGTCAGGGGAAACCCTGATGCCATCACTTGATCCCATCAAGCGCCGCGTCTCCGCTCACGTCTCCGCGTCTCCACTTGCGTCTCCGTGTCTCCACCCGAGTCTCTGTATTCCTGCACCCTGACGCTCCTCCTCCACTTCTTCCACCACATCCCGCATCCAGTGGTCCCCAACCTCCAACTCCCATGGCCACCCCTTTCTGGGAGTCTCTCCGGAGTCACCATCAGGGATCACTAATCCCATCGGAGACCTCTCCGGATGTGGCCGCACCACTTTCCTCTGAGACCTCGAGCCTATGGCCTTATAGCCTCTCTGGGCTGTCGCTCATCAAGGTCTCCCTGCAACCTCTACCCGTTGGACCTCTTGGGTGTCCCCAACCTATGTCAGCGTTCGGGCTTACGTTCGGATGGCTGAGCCCCGCCATGGCTCCGCCCCCACTCCGCCACCACGGCCCCCGTCATCGGGTCTTCCTTTGGGTGAGGCCTACTGCCGTTAAGGCTCGTGCCTACTGCAGCGCCCCCAGGCTGCACGCCCTCACACCTCCACCTCTCTGGAGACGTCCGGGGACGTCTCCGAGTGACCCTCCTGTCGCTACCCTCCAGTGGTCATGGCTGGCCGCCATTCCTATTGGTCCTTTCCGACACTCCCCGGCCCTTGGGCTGGACCGACTCCTTCCCTCTCCGCTCCATGCCCCCCTCTCCGTTTCCGGCCGTCACGTCACGGTCACACACCCGGAATCGATTCCGATTCCGATTCCGATTCCGGTTGTCACGGTCACGGTCACAAGCGGAGACGCCCAGAGGCAGTCTGGACCCCCGAAGCCCTTCCTGGGCCTTCTAAGGATGCCTGGGCTCTTCCCTTGGCATCATGGTCCCAAACCTGCCTCTCCGGAGCTTCGAGGGCTACTCAACACTCACCTAGGGTCCATTGGCGACACCTGACTTCTCCCATGCGTTGTTCGTCGCTATGCAGTCACTCTATCATTACTCCGGTCACTAGTATATAGTAGTGCACCTGAGCAGAGGGCTCCTTGGCTTGTTCTCTAAGGATTCCCCCTCTGCTCAGGTGAGTCTTGTAGCGTCCCTTCTTGTTGTAGTAGTTTCACTAAGGATTCCCCCTCTGCTCAGGACTCTGATTTCGAGCCTTGCGAGGTTGCCCTTACAATCACCTGGCACACTACAAGATATTTACTAATCCAAATATGATTGTTTAGGGTTTGGTTTATGATGGTTTCAAATTGAAAGTATTGCCAAATATTCTAAGATGGCTTATAGCATTTAAGAAATTTGATTTCAACAATTCTTCTAGACAAAGAATTGAAGCTAAATGACACTAGAGTATTGCTGATTTCATATTTCATAAAAGTGAACCAAAGAAATGAAAAGAAGAGTTATTTTGTGTCACTTAATTCTAGCTCAAATTAAATAAAGTGTTGTATACAATTGATCATCCTTCCAACCCTGATAAATTCAAGATATTTTGTACAGAAGTTCCAGGTTACAAACAACAGATGAAGATTTCCATATCAGGAATTTTAATAGGCATAGTATGATACAGGATTCTACAATTTAATTCATTCTGGTTCCAATACATCATGTCTACCAATACTTTTTGAAATTGTGTTAATTACTGCCTATTTTTCTCAAGTTCTATAAGATTGATGAATACCAATAAATTCTATAATGAATTCTGAAAAGTATCATATAGTAGTACTTATCTTCATTATCAGATAGCACTAATATAACAGCCCAATCAGGTAAATGGTTAGCAATTTTCAAAATTAGACTTTGAGTTCAAATTCCTGGTATTATAAGTATATTTGAAATTTATCACTGCAAAGGAAATGGACTGAACTTAGTTAGCCTAATGGAAAACTATCAAGATAAGCTGGTGTGAGTAGACTAGAAATATCAAGATGTCTCTCTAAGCCTTGAATGATCATAGCTTCAAATTATTTAGTTTTGTTTGTTTATTATTTGTTACTCAGTGGAATGCACATTAATAATGGTTAAAACATCTATTGTATCAATGAATTTAGACTGAAATTATTCAAGTCCTACTTAATAAACATAAAGCTCTATAGTATATAAATGGTGACATTCAAACTTAGTGTACCTACTAATGAGTGCAGAAAACATGTCAAGAAAATATTCTGGCCTTACCCTGAGTCCTAGATTGACTGCGAGATGATAATATGTAGTTAGATACTTAGCTCAACTGTGAATGAGCATAATAGGTAAGATTGTCTATTTACTGGTATCAATAAATTTATAAGATTTCAATATTATTTTACTATAATTCAACATATAGAGTGACACACTGAAGCTTTCCTTAGTAGGATAGTTATAAAGGCTACTCTTGATTTTATGGTCATTTTATAACAATTTTAATATAGTTTATGAGGGCCAGAAAACAGAGGATTTGGTTGTGTGACATATAGTAACATCATCAAATGCATCAGATGTCTACATGTGATCAATCATCTTTTCAGCCCACAGAAAGCAACAACAGTGACTCAAGCACCAGAACCTATGCATGCCCGGGCCGCACCCGGAATACTGATTCTAATCTGCTTTACATTGGTCTGTTTGCACTTGTTTAGAATCATTGTTTACACTTGTTTACTGATTGAATTTTACACCTAGCTAAAGCAAGGTAACTGAAGCATGGCACCACATGCTCAAATCGTACTTCGGCGACGGAACCCGGAATCGGCGGCTCGATGAGCTCATCTGGATTCTAACCACCGCGGTTGAGACGCATACAAAAGCACGTCATCAAGAGCAGCTTGCTGGGACACACGGACATAATCTCGAGCAAACCGCTCGTCTTCAGATCCTGCAACGCGCCAAACCCATTCTCCCAACATTCATTGCTCCGCCCACCAACGCCAACACTTCCTATGTTGTTCTCTCCCCAGCTTCCATGACGTTCTATAGCGTCAACCGGAATGGATGCTCGTGTAGCGACTATCACCGCATCCATTTCTGCACTCATACTGCTGGGGTTGGAATACATTTTCCCAACTCCGGAATCGATATTGCTATATACCCGCCCACTGTGCGTACACTTCTCCATCCACAACTTGCAATTCCCGGGGCGGCAACAACTTTAACACCCACACCACTGCAACTGGAGGCATATGCCCTTCCGCCAGGTATATCTGATGTTGAAACAGCAGCGTCTCACCAGCTTGCCAAACAGCTGCTTGCCATTGCAGCAGACGTTGCTCAGAACCCGCGCTCGTTGACGGACATTACCGGCCTTCGGGAGGCAGTTACCCATTTCTTGAAACCTGATTCAATGCTACTTCCGGCCGCTGAGAAGGTAGCTCCGAATCAGAAGAACCACTGGGCGGAGACGACCAAAAACATGGGTTGCTCTCAATCGACTGCCTTGAAACGCAAGCGGGATCCCGATGGGTCCGGAATTGGTGTGCGAAAGACCAAAATCAAATCATATGATGATCCTTTCGGCGCTGGGGAACGATCAGGTAAACGGGCTCGTCCGGATGCCCAAAATGCGCCAATGCCACCTGTACCCTCAGCCCCGCCTTCACCCCCAGCCCCGCCGCCACTTCTGCCACCTTCTACTGTCTCCAAGGTTAATCGCCGGACCCAATTACCGAAGAAACTGCCAACACCTTCGACGCACATGATGAGCACTCGAGCGCGCGGCCCAGCAGTGTCATATGGCCCCGTCTATCTGGACCGGCCGCCCGGAGCACCGCCGCCAACCCTGTATGGGATGCCACCCCCGCCAATTTGAATGTTGAATTAGTTGCATTGTTTCATTTTAATACAATTATAAATGTTTAGGACTTAACAGCGGGATATAACTCTTAAGGGCGCGAAGGCGGGACAGGTGGCGGGGTCATGTGCTGGGAAATTTCCTTTTTAGGAAGCCGTGACCTTGCGGATTCGGTTTCAAGTGCTGGGCGCTGACGATGACGCCGACGACGAGGTCGCGGTCCACGACGGTGAACACTGGTACTTCGCGCTGCATGGAACAGTGAGGATGATCTGTGTTGGGCGAAAAAAAGTATGTGAACCGTTTCTCCTTGATGCCGGAGTTGGAACAGTGCCGCGTGGATATCCAGAAGACTGCTGTTGTCAGTTAGAGATGGCGAGAGGTTTCGGCACGAACAGGGTGGCCCATAGCTCTGGAGAGCTGGTGCTACAGCCAGCATCGAGAGTTATCCGCTGCGGATTGGTCGCATTCTCGAACCAGCGATGAATTGTCTAAGAAGGTTGTGGAGTGGTAAGTATTGCAGAAGCAGACTGACCTTTCCCCGTTCCTTTTTGCTCATCCATCGAGCAATTCTATCTGAGCCAGGCATGAATAAGACCAATCCATGTATGTCGATGCCAATTTTGAGCTGTGGACTTGGGGATGGGGCAGCACCGCAAGCTGCCCTATGGGAAGATACTTGGTCATTGAGACTGAGGAGTAGAACTGAGTATTCACCAGTTCCTGCGCTTGTAAACGACGAAAGAAACCGTGGCAGTGGCCATTATAGTGGGCATGTCCTCTATATCCGATATCAGTCTCCTAGAAATGCCGCCAATGGTATAACTCACCGGTCTCCTCATCTCCCTCCGCGTAAACCACCTAAAAACCTCAGGTATAGCAGGCTCTGCGAATAGTAGCTTTAAGCTCACCCGTCCGTGGGCATAATGCTGTGCCTGGAGCATTTCCGTGATGCTTTTGTATATCTGGGGCACTTGATATGGAAATAATAGGCGGAAAATGAGTCTTGGAATGCAGCGAGACCCTCAGTGCATCACATGATCGCGCGGATCACAAACTCCCCGGAACGTTTCAGTGGCTCACATCTCAGACTGAGCGTCAGTGGCTGGTGGAGCAGATCGAGTCTTGAGTTTGTTCGTTTGTTGGTGAGTTGCTCTGTAGTTTTCTGCTCTTTTGCCGAGTTTTGCCTCATCACTTGGTTAGCTTGTGCGACGCATTAGCCGCAGATCCAGTTTACTGGCCTAGACACTTCAGGTGACAAGCTAGCGCAGTTGCGGACTGGATCTTTGGATTTTTGTGTCAAAGCTTCCTGAAGAAACTGATGAAGGCAAAGAAAGAAGAGAGAGAAGATTGATATCACTCTTTGATGTGTTAGCAGTAAATTTTTACATACCAAATAATAACAGTAAGTACTTAGAACAACAGCCACAATTACAACATGAACGCTATCTGAGCATGGTCAACTCAGCTCTAGCCGCTCGCCTCCTTCTCGCCTCCGCCAACTTGAGCTTCTCGTTGGCCTTCAACTCCCGCCACTCGCAACCATCAACATATTCGCACGAACTGCCGCTCATTCAGCCTTCAACATCTCAAAAGAAAAGAGAGCAAACGCACAAACACCTCGAAGTCTGCGCTTCCGTCACGCCGCGCGCCCGACGGTGACCCGTCCACCACTGAATTGCGCTGTGAAGATATTCCTCAAGCCGGACCTCGTCCATAGGAAAGCGTTTCGTGCCTATAACGGCCGAAGCCGTTGGCGATTGCAGAGAACTTCGCCCATGTTCTAGTTGACAGCTGCGAAGGGCTTTCTGGAGCTCTTCTTGGAATTGTGCCATCTGGGCCGACTCGGCTTCCGATGCAATGCTCATAAGAATAGCGCGCGCCAATTCTTCTTCCTCGCTCTCTCCGTGTACCACGAGTGTGTTGCTGGGGCGCAGGGGAGCGGGGTACTTTCTCTGAGATCGGTATATGACGGTCAGGTCGTGATTCAGAGGCGGAAGCCGCATGTCTGCGACTCTCAAGTCGAGCAACATGCACAAATCAGCCAAACAGGAGGGAAGCGCTTCGATAGTTCCGAGGATAGGCCTCATTTGTGCTTTGAACACTTCTGAGAACAATCGTCCCGGGTCAAGACTGAGCTGATTCCAGAATGCAAGATAGTCGAACTGCTGCGACGGATCCAGGAGAATGCCGAGAAGCCGGTGGTAGAGCATAAGTTGAATTTTCGTAGGCACGGTGTCTTCCTCAGGGGGTAGAGAGTCTGTCCGGCGGGTCTTCGTGTCAATCAAGTGTATGGTTGATATGTTGCCGTCCTTTTCGATCCGTAACTCGTCCTATAGAAATTGTCTTGTCATTGGAATAGGCACATGGAGGGGTACAAACAGCAATGCCGACCACCGCAATGCCCTCTATGAGCCCAAAGATAGGAATTTCGCGCTAAGGCCATGGTCACCGCAATATAATATATGAAGTAGAACTTTACACACGACGCAGTTTTCCGCTTGCAAAGAGCTCAGGGACGTGATGAAGTTGAGTATTCTGGGCAACGTAAGATGATTTGCTTCATGGCATCCACACACACCGTAGTCCCCACCGTTCCTCCTCACTCGTAATCCGGATTTGGACTTCTTCAGCCTTGAGCTCCATCTCAAGCTCTTTGTGAATGAACTAGGAGAAGATCAGACACCGGCAGAGACAGGGATGTCGGAAGGAAGTGTTCACCCGTCCTCGATTTGTCGTCTGCTCATTCCGCGCGGCAACTTGTTGTTGGACAACAATCTCCTTCCCAGTTCGTTCAGAGCGAAATGAGCGTGGCCGGTCGGCAAGCCGCCGAGAGCGCTTTTGCTGTAGCCCATAGTCAAGCTGGACCTCGCACCTGGAGAAGACATTAACGCGGATGCGGCGACTCAATAATACTTACCACGCAAGAGAGGTTATGTCAGTCACGGAGAGTGTTCCTTGTCGCCGATAACGCGCCATAGGACTTGTTCTACTGTTGCTAGTTTGAGAGTCCGCAGTACTAGTCGCAGACTCAATTTCGATAGAAATAGAGGGCATAGCGGCTGAAGCGTTGTCGGCTATGGCTTCGGCACAAAGGGCATCCAAAGTTGCGAAATCGGCGTCGTTCAATGTTCCAAAATCGTCGTATAGATCGTAGTCATCATAGGCCATCCTTCCATGAAGCTGGCGAGCCGGTTGGCGCGTCCAGATGCTGGTTCGCGGTTGAGTCACACATCGCCGATGACGTGTGACCGCACGCTCGTGACCGTGACCACAACTTGCTTGTGATCGATTCTCTTACTCAGAAATTTCTCTTCCTTGCTGTTTTCTCGAATCTCGCCAGCAAGTACGGCCGACGTATTCACTCGGAGGCATTAGAAAGTGCACTCTCATGTCATACCACCGTCGCGATTCCTGATTTCTCCACTCAGTTGCCACGGTTCTGTCCAATGCGTGTGGTCTACAAGACGCATGCAATCGTAAAAACTGGTCGCAATGCAAAAGCGGCACCGTCCTTGGACTCAATGGCCATATCAACACCGAATTTATGTAATGGAACCTGAAGTTTTCCGGCCTGCGAGTATCGTCGAGCTCCACATCCAGCCACACACCGCCGTCATCATCGGTCGTTCCCGCGTTGAATGTGCATTCCGGACCGTTATACGGACCGCCATGTGAGGTCGAGGCTGGTATAAATCCACTTTCGCTCATGTCCCAAGCTTCCCTTCCCTGCCTATTCCTCCGCCCGAAATGGTAAAAGAAACGGCAATATCTAGCAGAGCTATACTGCTCGCTGTGTTCATCGCATTCGGTGTGTGTTATCGTTCGTGGGTGAGCTAAATGCTGATTCCGAGCACAGGAGGATTCCTGTTTGGGTGCGTCGGTCTTCATTCATTTTGGTCCTTTTTTATTCAACATCTCTTAGCTATGACATTGGCGTCATCTCAGGCTGCCTTATCATGCCCGACTTTATTGACCGCTTTGGCGAGTTTCGCCCAGATGGTACCAAGTTTCTATCGAGCTCGCGCCAATCCATCATAACCTCATTGCTATCCGCTGGGTGAGTCATATTCCGGTCCTTGTTCCCTCAACGTTGGTCTCATCGACGTCATAGAACTTTCGTGTCGGTATCTCATGTCACCCCGTCTTCTCTCTACAAACCTCTTTCCAGCGGGGCTCTCGGACAGGCATTCACGAGTGACAGTTTTGGACGACGCGGCTCTATTCTCATCTGGTCTGCGATCTTTACAGTTGGGGTTGCCATCCAAACTGGCACAGTTCGTTCTATCGCACAACTCACTGTTGGACGATTCATAGCTGGGTTAGGTGTCGGTGCTCTTTCTGGTATGTTCCAATTTGCGGCACCGAATTATCCGACTCATTGCGCGTCCACTCAACAGCTATCGTACCGTCTGTTTCCTACCCTCTATCTCTCGAAACATCAAAATTCATACCAAAGCAGATTATATAATGGAGAAACGTCCCCCAAGGCTTATCGAGGGACATTTTTAGTCCTGTATCAGCTTCAAATCATCATTGGGTTGGTTATTTTCTGCTAATCCAGCCCACATAAATTGATTATCTGTCAGGTTATTCCTCAGCTATGTTTTGGACCTTGCCACACACTCAATACCCAATTCTGCTTCTTGGCGTGTTCCTGTTGGTCTCCAACTCGTTTGGGGGCTGGCGCTCCTCTCCGGCATATTTTTTCTCCCCGAATCCCCGTAAGCCCGCTTTCGAAATCATCAACATTCATTCACATCATAGACGTCTGCTCCTCGGAAATGGAAAGAAAGAACAGGCTCAGCGTGTCATCGCAGACCTCAATGGCGTCACGATCGACGACCCCATTGTCGCCGAGACTGTAGAAGAGCTTGAGTATGCTATTGAACAGGAGAATGCTGGCGGGAAAGCGACCTGGGCCGAGTGTTTTTCAACGCGTAATGCGATGTGGAAGCGGACCGGCAATGGTATGATGATCCAGTTCCTGCAGCAATTGAATGGGCAGAACTTTTACTGTGTGTGCTCCTTCTTACACGCCGCACGGAATCCTGATCACAATTAGACTACTATGGCGACACTTTTTTCAAGAGTGCTGGCACACAGTAGGTTGGTTCCTTTTCAAATTATCTGAGGCTGACTGGTTAGGCTCTCACCCTATGTTATCCAGACCATCCTGGGAGGTGTTTCTGTTGCTGGAACAATCCCTGCCCTGGTAAGCAGCCCACGTTTTTACGCAGAAGTGAATCATTCAATCAACACAGCACCTGATTGAAGTAAGCTTTTACTTTTTTTTTAGAGGGCTCGAGAAAGCTTACTTTACCCTAAGTCTTGGGGGCGGCGAAAGGTGAGTTGACATCTCCAAATATTGTCCTGGCTAATTTGTGCAGCTTCTTCTAACTGGCGCACTCCTGCAAGCCGCTTGTGCTATCATAGTGCGGCTTGGATTAAACCCTTGTCCATCCTTTTACCTTGCCCATAGGCTGGACTGGTCGGTCATTACACTTTAGCACCGACTGGGACTGCCTCAGAGCTTCTTACGCGTCGCAATAAACAAGGAGGTGAGTTTGAGAAGCCTAAAAAACATCAGTCCAGCTGATCGCAAATAGGTGATGTCCTCATCGCATTCGCTGTTCTGCACGTCTTGTGCTTCTCTATCTTTTGGGGGCCCACACCGTCCGCGGTTTCTAGTTCCGTCTTGCAACATTTGCAACTGACAATCTCTATAGTTGGGTTTACCTTGGAGAATCGTTCCCGCTTCGTGTGCGTCCCAAAGCTATCGCACTTGGAAGTGCTAGCAACTGGATTTGGAACTTCCTTCTTGGATTTTTCGCGCCTCGTATTGCGGAGGACATCGGTCCTCTTATTTTGATGATTTTCTTTTCGATGTTGGTTGTTGGTGAGTGTCGTGAACGCCTCAGTGTTAGCATTCACTCAAATCTGCTGCCCACAGCGTTCATTTACGTATACCTTTTTATCCCGGAAACTAAAAGCCTCAGTTTGGAGGAAGTCGACGAACTATATCGCTCCGGTGTCAAACCCTGGCACTCTTCTAGTTGGCAACCTCATTTACTCGACGGTATTCGGGAACGAGATGGGAAAGATGTCAGAGCCAGCAACGAAAAAGCGGCAGTAGCGGAAAAGGAAGCCTGAACTATGGGACTTTATAGCTATCCAAACCGATAAGCCTTACTTGCGAATGCAGGAGCTTGAGTCAGTCGGATGTTCCACATAAAAGGAGTTTCGGGAGTCTGAGACTTGGAATGGGATTCATCCGCGCGTGACCGAAACTGTAACACTCCATCGTCTCTTGACTTTAACCCCCATGTTGCTTGCTAAATTGCGTCGCATCTGCTCCCATTACCTCTTGCGGCTCTCCAAAAGCGCCGAGGCTCTCCTCGCAGTCAGGTTGTCCCTCGTCATCGTCAAAGAAGTTCTTGATTTGTCGAAGTCGACCACAACGACTTACCCGCCACTCAATCTTCCCCTCGTTCTCACTCTTCCGCCTGCCCCCATCCGCCTCACACTTCCGCCCGCCCCCGTCCCTCCCCCAACCAAAGCGTTGCCCATCCTCATACGAGGGACAGTTGTGCTTGGCTCCGGCCTATATCAAGTCCCACCAGGCTTCGTGTTTCTTTCTTTCTTCTGGATTTTTTCCACTGTATTGTTGGTCTATGGGGCCGCAAATAGACTGGGTGTGGCTGCCGCTGTGCGGAAGTATCTCTGCGGTGTGAGAGTTTTCTTGGATTGCGTGAAATATGGTGCCTGGGCAGTTGCTCCTCTCGTTTACTGGAGCCAGGTTGGCTTGCGCAAGATACTGGATTGTCTTGGAAGGTGTGTTCTGTGTACAGAATTTGTGTTAAGTGACTCAAGACCTACAGGTCTACGGGTTCATATGCGACCGAAAATTCGTTTCGTCTCTTCCATACGGTCTCCATTGTCGTCCGAGTCATTCCTTTTGTCGAAAAGGCTACAAGCTGGGGCAAGCACCACTACGCAGTTGGTATCCACAACACGAAGACATTTATCCGTGCTACGATCAAAGCTTTCGACAACGACGAGCTTACTTTAACGCTTACGCTCGCTCGCTCGACCATGAACTGTGACGGCGTCATCATCTTCGTGATCAGCGAGCTTGTCTCCAACTACTGGCGTTGGTGGTTTCTCTGGCGTCTCGATCCTGGAGGAACACCACAGCGTCGCTACCCCTTCATTGCCGGAACTCCCGATAGCTGGGACGGATTACTGCCAGCGCCCGAGGTCAATGCATTGTCAGCCGCAACGCACGGCTTATGGGGCTCTTCTGCTTGGAAACCCGTCCAAACGTTCAATATCAAAAGGCCATTTGACAAAACTAAATTCACGCGAATAAGACTGCTGGGACGAGGCACATTCGGGAAGGTCATCGAAGTCTCTACCTATTGTGGAATACACATCGCCCTCAAGAGAGTAAAGCGACGAGGGAAAAAGTCGGACCACTATACCGCACGACAAGCCTCGACTATGCTTTGGAACATGCTTGCGTCCGAAGTCCAAGTCCCCATTCTCATGCGCAATAATGCCGCATTTCCTTCCGTCTATGGAGTCTGGTGGGACGATGCTAGCTATTATATCGCGATGGTGTGTGTTGTTTTCCACCTTCTTCGTCGTGCTGACAATTACTACAGCAGCTGGGTGACCAATGCCTAGCGGACGTTGATCATTTCCCCTCCCGTTTAGACATTTTCTGCTACGGCCGTCAGCTTGTATGATCATCTCCGGTGTTTTCTGTTCTTTGTGCTAATCATTCTCAACAGGTTGCCGCACTCGAATCGTTGCATGCCCAATATATCGTCCACCGCGACCTCAAACCCGAAAACATTCTTCTGAAAAAGGGTCAAATCATGATCATTGATTTCGGTCTCGCTCGCGTTTTCCAACCAGGAGCAGGTCCTGCTCGCTTCTGGGCCCACGAATCAGGAGAATATCGGCTGGAGGAAGTAGCAGGGACGACAGGCTACATGTCTCCCTTGGTCGCAAAAGGTTATCCATATTCGTTCGACGCCGACTTGTGGAGTTTTGGAGTGATCATATACCAATGGATCGTGCAACGCGTAGGTTTCTCCCCATAGCTTGACTGAGGTTTTGACGTTGTTAGTGGGACCCGCCTCGAATCACACCTCTTGCAAAGCGCTTCCAGTTGGATCCAAAGGACGACCTGGAAGATGACGAATTCGACTTCTTCAAGAGGATATTTTCGCTGGAAAGAGGGCAGCGTTTCCAAAGCTGGAAGGAGGTTCGCAACCACCCAATGTGGTTGGGGTTGATATAACCCTATGACGAAAGTAAAGCACCCAAGGACGATCGACCGGAGAGGCTGCGAGAGGTGTAACCAGGCAAAATCTTCGGTCGAGCGGGAGTTTATGAGGGGGACGCCCTTCTTAAACTCTTGACCGAAGCTTTCTGCTCTCTCTCGTAGTAGTATCCGGCTTCGTCAAGTGCTCGTCATTTTTCTTTGCTTCTTGTTTTCTGGATTTCTTCTTGGATTTTTTTCTCAGTACATCGTCATCATCCGATGTCTAGTAGGGACAAATTAATGGATTTTGTGCACTACTTGACCCGGTGAAGGAGGTTGGAAGGGAAGTCACCAACGTGATCCATGCTGATCGCTGATGTTGATACCATCAATACACGACTTTGCGTTTTTCAACATGGTTGAAAAGCTGAAATACTGTGCCAAGCTTGTGGAAGGAACCGGAACATCGTCTTTCCCTGGTACTGTCCTTCTTTGTCAACGAAAACAACAACAGAAAACTTGCCATCGATGAGAATAAACCACGTCATTTCCGTATCAGGATAAGATTGGCGTCTTTTCGTCTGCTTCCATGACGGACCTACTGCACTCCGCGCTTCACTCAGCAACCAGCCTCTCGGGACTGGCCTCGCAAGGCAACAGCGGTACGGAGACACCTGCCGTGCCATATTCTCGGCCTACAACGCCTGGTGCAAGTCCCACCGTTCCAATCCAAATCGGCTTTGTCGGTTTAGGCGCAATCGGAGGAGTCATGGCGAAGAATCTGGCCAACTACCGTGCCACACACTCCCACAACGCGGCCCCCATCCTTGTGTGGAACCGAACTGCTGCCAAAGCGGACGCGTTGTTGAAGGAGCTGGGAGCAAACAAGATTCGGGTCACCAACTCGCTGGAGCAGATCGCGACGGAGTGCGATGTCATTATTACTGCCCTGGCGAATGATGAGGTCGTCAGGGAAATCTACGAGAAGTTTGTCGCAACGTTGAAGGTGAGTTGGTCTTGTTTCTGAAATGATCATTGAACGGTCTTGGCTGCAGCACACACCTCCCGCACGACACAAGATATTCGTCGAGACTAGTACCGTGAGCCGACTTTCTGTCACTTCATCCTTCCCACAACGTCGCAGATTTATCCTACCTTTGCTGGCGAACTCGACAGCCTCGTTTCATCGATTCCTCACTGCCATCTTGTCGCGTCGCCCGTGTTTGGCACCCCAGCCGTGGCTGCAGGCGCCCAGCTCATCATTGTCATGTCCGGGGACTACCGCTCCAAGAAGGAAGTCGCTTACATGCTGGTCCCTGCCGTTGGCCGCAAGGTGATTGATCTAGGCGGAAACATCGAGAAAGGTAGGCCCGCTCCAGACTATGTCCATCAGCGCTTATGCTTATCCAGCACCCACGTTCAAGCTAATCGGAAACTCGATGATTTTGGGCACGCTGGAGATTTTTGCGGAGAGTTACACACTGGCGGAGAAATCGGGTATTCCCGCCCAAGAAGTGCACAAACTTGTCAAAGAAATCTTCCCCGCGCCTGGGTCGGCTTGGTTTCACTGTCCACTCCCAGCTGCCTGACTGGTTGTATCAGGTTAATGAGATATTCGGAGCGGATGTCGACCAATAACTTCGATGCCAAGACTGGATTCTCCATTAACGGTGGTATCAAAGACGCGTCCCATATCCGTCGCCTCACTGCGGTTCACAACTCCCCAATGCCAGGTGAGTTGGGGCGTGTTCAATGAAGCAACTTGATGGATTTCCCTTTCAGCAATCGATATCGCACATCAACACCTGATAACGGCCCGTGCTATCCATACTGGTCAAGTCCAAGCGGGAAAGGAGGCTGTCGACGTTCTGGATTGGAGTGGAATTGTTGCTGGGGCTCGTGTTGCTGCTGGGTTGGATCCGTTCGAGTCTGGGGTAAGAAGTCCTTACAATAGACATCGAAACGCTCATGAAATGCTTGCTAGAATGTTGGTGTTGTACAGGAAGATTAAACCGAAAACATATAGACGCTACAGTGTAACAACAGAGACTATCGCTTTTGCTTCTTGCCCCTTCGTGTTTTCCTTATCACCGCCACCGTTTTCTCTTGTTTCTGTCTCATCTGCCTTGCGCTTTTGGCCAGCAGCAGTGGACTTCACACTGACCACCGTATTGCCCCTTCCTTTCCCTATTTGCCGTTCCGCCACGCTCCAGTCTACGCCCGCGTCATTTATCGCATACCTAAGAAACGGTCAAACTGGGTCATTGGTCAATGGGCAGAGAAAACAACGAGCTTACTTCTTCAGATCAAGACTATCGATCATCTCTCGTTGGCGTTGCTTCTCCTTGCTCATCTCTACTGCACCAGCCTCCTCGAGTTCATCTTCCAACGCGGCAGCGGTTACCGTCCCGGTGTCTGCTGCAAACGCCGGTTTTGGAGCGGCCTCGGGAATGTCGGCACCAATGGCAGCCTTTTGTATTCCGACAAGCCGTTTCGTGATCTTGCGGACGAGTTTGCCGAACAGGGCGAGTGTTTGTGAGGAGGGCAGCGTCAGCTCTTTCTCGAGGTCGTCGATTTCCTTATTTTGTAGCCCAAGACCGAGGAGAATGGCGCTCTGGACCGCACTGAGATGTACGTTCTCGTCCTCTCCGGCCCCGATTAGTCGTCGTTCGAAGAAGAGTTTGGCAATGGTGGGAACGAGGTCGAGGGCTGCGTGGTAGTCGAGCATATTGTTTGAATATGCTTCTAGTCGTTTTAGGTCGAAGGGGGTGAGGAGATGGGAGAGTTCAGTTGAGGCAAGGGCTACGCTGAGCATTTAGCAAACATCAGACTAAAGGTTAGACACATACGTCGCGATTTTGAGGGGTCCGAGTCGATTGTTTTGAGGCCGATATTCACAGCTTCGAGTATGCTTAAAGCAGTGATGCTCCCGAATTCGCGGAACTTGTAGGAAAGAAGGGAAAGGAATCGTCTTCGGAAGTCTATGATTCGTTAGGTTAAGATCCACTGGAGTTGAGGTTGACATGCCTTTAGCAAACTCCCCCAGCCACTCTTGACTGTCGGCCGTGCTATTCAAGCCGCGGACCATAAGGCAGCTGTGCTCTCCAGTTAACTCGCTTGGAGTTTGCCGCAGATAAAGAGGGACGTAGCCAGCTTTCTTCCAAAATCTGATGCTAGTTCAGAAAGAGGAATTCTCCAATGAGGGGATATCGTACCGAAGAAGCTGGGCAGTCAGCCCATAGCTCACACCTAGGTAATCCAGCACCTCGGGTTTGCGCTCCGATAACCTTTGTAATAACGGGGGCATGCTTGTGACTGGTTTCACTGATGGTGTTTCGGTATGCAGATCAGCCGTTGACTTTGAACGTCAGCTGGAACCCGTCTATTGTAATGATTAACCCACAAGATCGAATTTCCCTGGCTTGGGATATTTTGGGGCCGCTTTCTCCGCTTCGTCGAAATCGTAGTATTCGCCGCTGTAGAACGCGTTGAGGGCCTCCAGTGCTCTGGACCCGTAACCCATCTGTAAATGAGGTGAGGTCAAGGAGAAGACCAGGGAACATGCAAACTGACCCCTGCATAATCAGGATCTGACGCTATCCTGACAACTCGACCTCCCTTCAACGATGCGAACCCACTCTCTAGAAACTGCGTGCTGATGACCCACGGAATCATATCTCCACTCGCTTGTTGACCTCGTCCAGCAGCATCTAAAACAACCTCTTTCTTCAATCCACCCTCTAGCGCGACTTGTAAAACCACCAGCGGCTCTGGTAGTGTATCTTCATCGTCTTCTATTGGTGGGAGCAGTACGAAAAGGTGATGAGCTGGTGCGTCCGAAAGCATTTGAAGGTCGTTCGGCTGGTTTTTATAATGCGATGCGACATATAACGCCATCATGCGTTGCAGAAACACTTCACTAGCAGGATGATAACTGAATAGCGTGTCGCGATTGACATAGAAAAGCGAGCAGGTTGAAGGATGCGGGGTTCCACGATGAGAAGACGAGCCAGTGGTAGCGTTGAGACAGAGGACATTATAGAGCCACTTCTCGATCTTGTCGTTGGTGCCATACCGTATGGGCGTTGTGAGCTTGATCTCTCGTAGTGATCTCGCCTTGGGAGCAGGTTTGGGATGTTTTTTGGATGTAGAAGGTGCAGAGTCCTCATCTTTACTAGCACCGGCAGAGCCAGCGGGAGCTTTAGTTAATGAAGGTCGTGTACTTTCCCGAAGCTGCTTGAACAGCTTCAATGAAAGGCTGCGGCCGGTGCCTTCATAACCATTGATTGTCGAAGCAAGAAAGACGAGGTAGGGCCCAATGAGGTTTCGAACAAGTGGTAGGGGAATTGCAGCGGCCTCATCGATGATGACAAGTTCTGCTTGACCCAGGACGTGGGCATCTTGAGGTTGGATATACTGCGAAGAGTTGAAAGGAGAAGACAAAGTACGGAGACTAAAACGCTGACCTGGATGGTTTGGCGATGATTTTTGAACACGTCTACTCTTACGATCGCGCCTTTCGGTCCACCCTCCGCCGATACGCTTTGCATGATGTCATAGTCAAGATGTTCTTCGTAGCCCAGGACATCCATACCCTTGAATATGAACTCAAAAACGGTCTTGAGATTTTCTGGGCTTGGGCTGGTTACGAAGATATTAGAGTAGCCATGTCCAAGGGCTGCGGCGATTGCCAATCCTAACGCTGCTGATTTTCCACGTCCACGAGCAGCAGTAAGGGTAACAGTCGATGAAAGTGTCTTTTCCGAAATCGCTTCGATAAATGTAAGTACGGCTTGCGCTTGATCCAGCGTTTTCGCAAGGGTGACTAGGGGCCCAGCAGGAGTTGTGTCTACCAAGCTCTCACGTAGAGCAGCAAGTTGCGTTTGGTCGGGGGTGATTTTGGGGAGTTCACCATCCTCGATAGGGGTGATATCTTTGCCACGGGAAATGGGAAGGACGTTCAGTTCGTCGTCTAAAAAGAGGCAGTCCTCGCACGACCCAAGAGAAAGGATAAATCGTTCGTTGAAGCGGGCCACTACGGAGTCATGAGATGCAGTTCTATATCGAGCGTGCACATCCTGCAAAAGACTAAGGAGGAATGAATACCCAAGGCTAGATGGACGCACCATGGTCATCGTGTAGAGCTGCTTCAGACTCGTCATAGTTTTGAGGAGCAAAACGATCAAGCCTCCTCCTTCAACCGTTTCGATAGTTCTAGCAAGTAAATTTGGCGTTACAGCCTCGAAGTCCTGCAAGACCAGCATTCCGTAGGTATGGCCCAAAATCTTCTCTGACTCTTTATAGTACCTGGCAGATATTCAATAGTCTACACGAAAAAAAAGAAACTAGCACGCACGTATATCGTATGTCAGTAGCGGCAATGAAAACTTCGAATGGATTCTTCTCGTTTGGCTCCCGGATGCCCCGTTTTATGTCGCGCTTTATCTTGTTCTCTGCATTCTTCCGGTGACTGTTAAACCATTGAGCAATGAGAATCCGAACGAATTGAGTGGGACGGACCTGACCTCGTGAAGCCAAGATCTTTCTTATAGCACCATAATACAGAAGGCCGAGCGGATACTCGCGTTTGACTCAGCAAGTAATGGAGGTTTGGAATCTTTTCAAGGTTGTAAATCGTCAAGTTGGCGGTCTGGAGCAAGACACACCTGATCCCTTCCCTTGTCTCCAACAAGCACAATGAAAGAGCGATTGTTTTTCTTCACATTATTCTGGATTAATATTGGGATGCGCGGGTCGAGCTGCTTGCGCATGACGGCGAAGAGTAAAAAATTATCCGATCAGCGCATGCCACGTGACCAAATTTAGTGTTTCCCTGGGCCTATTCACTCATTGCATCGCTGCAAGGCTGGCAGAAGCACCTACTATCTTTCTCTTACTACAATGACCTACTTGTCGAACCTACTTCTTCGGCACCAACCAATGCATTCACAACTTCGATTCAAAGTAGATTGACCTACTTTCCCCTGTCTCACAAGCAATTGCACTTCCGCGGCGGAATGCTGTCTCGCACGAGTAATTCCTCGCCAGCGACACGACACGACACGTCCTTTCTTCCTTCTGCCCTCATGCCTCGAATCGCGATGCCTCGAATTCCAATCCTCCTCCTCCCAATCACGCTTGTGGTCATCATATCGCTCATAGTCCTTGCCCAGCAGCACCCCCACACGGCAGAATATCTGGATATCAAGAGCTGGAGCTCGTGGACCGAGAAGTTCTATCGAAATCGCCATGAAGGGGCGAGCCGCCTCAACCTGACTTTGGCGGGTAACGAGTTGCGATACCAGATGGCCGTGGCCCAGCGTAAAGAAATTATGGCCCAGCTGCCCCCCGACACACCCGCGTGCGTTCTTCTATGTCGCCAAATCCAAACTTGCTGAACTATCTTTCGTCGCAGCTTCGCCGACCCTTTCGCCTCAAAATACACGCTCTGGGACCTCGTCATTCCTGCCTTTTCGTGCCCATTCCCCGTTTACCGCGTCGGAAATATGGCGGATGGTGGCAAATATGTGCGTGTCTCTTTTCTGCTGTTGTTCTTTTCCCAACTCCTGCAGGTCTGTGGACTCGAGCGAGCTACCCATCAGGACCGGTGCATTATCTATTCCATGGGAGTGGAGCGCCAGTCGAGTTTCGAGCAGGAGATCTTGCATCAGAGCGATAAATGCGAGGTTCATGGTGGGTATTAGCTTTACTAGGATGTCGAAGACCAACCATTCATATAGGATTCGACTTCTCGGTAACGAAATGGGGACCAGAACTTCTCAACGACCACGAAGTCAACAATCGCTCGCATTTCCACCAGTACAAGATCACGGGAAAGGACAACCACAACGCCTCGCCGAAAGAGTACTCTCTCTCCGGAATCATGAAGGAATTGGGTCACGACTTTATCGACATTCTCAAGGTGTGTGTCCAGTCTTTTGAAAGCATAACGGTACTAAACCGCTACAGGTTGACATCGAGGGCTCGGAATGGCGCACATTATACGAACTCATCGCTTCTTTCGACGGCAAACCTCTTCCTTTCGGCCAGATGCAGATTGAAATCCACGTTGGTTGGACTCCTGGTGAGTTGATTCGTCTTTACTTGACATCTTCGTTTTTTAATTGCGCGGCAGAAATGAAAACGATGAAAGCGGTCGAAGGGTGGTGGACGATGTTGGAAGAAGCTGGACTACGTGCGTTTTGGACTGAAGTCAACCTCGGAGATGTCAACTCTGTCCGCCGGGGTCCCATCGTCGCTGAGGTCCGTTGTTCTTTCCATGGGTTTGCTTCAGTACTGAGTGTCGTTATAGTGGTCCTTCATCAACATTCGAGGTAATCATGCGTTGTTGAACGACCGTCTTCCGGACTACCCTTAAAGATACGATGTACATTAGTTGGTTGCTACACGTGTGTCCCAAGAAAGCAAGAAAGAAAAATACCATCCTAGTCGTCATCCAACTCTAACATTGCGCTAGCCTCTTCCTCCTCCTCCGTAACCACTTGTGATTGAGAACTAGCAATGTCAGGAACGTCTATACCCAACGAACGCCATTGAGCTGCTCGTTGAGGGAACAGAGAGCAGTATTCTTGCACCCGAATGATGGAATCGCTTCTTAACCGCTCGTCAAACAAAACCTCATCCAGCCACCAGTTGGGAGTTTGCGGCAAGAGTCGCGCTGATCGAGTATCCAATAGTCTCCTTATGTCGGCGCCGTCAGTGTGATACCGCACCTGCTTGAATGTCTCCTTCGAGGCGCGGTGGTCTGACCAGCCTTTGAGTTTATGGAGTAGCACGAAGGCAAAAGGAGCAACTGGAAGTGTGCCTCCGTCATCGAGAATGGGGGAGAATATACGCTGCTCTGGAATGTATGGTGGAAGCGACATTGTGTCGGCACTTGAGGGGACAAGAATGTCCACCTTGGATTCTCGTCGTCCGCCACGAGGGTTTTTGTACCACAGAATCTTGTAGGTCGCTGCGGGATTACGAGCTTTCTTCAGGTAGTAGTTGCCGTGGCCACGGGAGACAATCATTTGCTTGACAACTTCAGCGTCTGGGACATCGCGGCCCCCAGTGGGGTAGACGATGATGTCCACGTCCTAACTGCCAGCTCAAGCATTATCCAGACTGCGAAGAGCTTAACGCACGTTTGGGCAACGAGAATTTCCATACAGCTTGCAGGCCAGACCGCCAAATATAGCACAACGGAACCCGTTCTTGCTCAGAATGTCGACGGTCTGCTTGGCCGCCGCCAGAACCACCGCGTAACGGTCATCGTCTGTTGATTTCTTCTCTGCTCTGGTCTTCTTCGGTTTGGCTCTGTAGAGTCTGTTGGCGCGAACTCCAGTTGGAGGTTGAGTGTTCATGGTTGGCGAATACAGTAAGGAAAGAATGTGCAATTAGTAGGGAAGCGAGCTCGTGATCAATCGCTTCTTCGACCTTATTATTAGACTTGCGCTCTGACTGAAGTTCTTCATCTCAATCCATGTCCTACTATGCTACAGACAGCACAAACACCGAGAATTGGCGCCGGCTTGTCTGTAGGTCACCATCGAAATACAGAGAAAGGTCTCGTCACGTGCCATTCTGTGCTCATCATCGCGACTTCGACCGACCGACCTGAAAATTACTAAAATGCAGCTTCCTCGACTTCCGCTCCCATGCACTTTCCATCGCCCCAGGGAGGAGCGTCCCTAATCCTGTCTTTCCACCTCCAAACACGAACGACACTCATCATTGGGTCTGGAACGCTTGCTGCATCTCGCGCTTTTGCCGCCCTTGAGGCCGATTCGAACGTTCTTATTGTTGCCCGCGGAGGAACAGAAGCTGTATGTCAGGAGCTGAAATGGAGGGCTGAGCAGGGACAGCTAGAGGTTGTGGATTGGGATGGTGAACACGAAGACACTTTGGAAAGCTACCTCGCTTCGACGAAGCACAACATCAGCCTTGTCTGTGTAACTGACACTCTAATCGGCCCGGAAAGGCGGTCGAGAGAGTCTGCACAACGGATATACCGACTCTGTCGCGCCAGGGGAATCCCAGTCAACACCACAGACATGCCAGACCTCTGCGACTTCAGTTTTTGTGCTGCTCATCGATTCACCACCACGGATGAGAAGCGGTCGGCACTCCAAATTGGGGTTACTACCAATGGACGCGGTTGTAGGCTGGCCAGTCGCGTCAAACGCGAGATTGTTGGGCTATTACAGAAGGAGCTTGGTGCGGCGGTGGAAATGGTTGGGGTTATGCGAAAACTAGCAGCTGGGAACCGCGACGAGTCTTGTGAAGAGCCTGTAACTCCGAACGAGCCTGTTTCCCCAAGGACGGCAATCGCTGAAACGGAAGTGGAGACAGCAGCACGGAGAATGAAATGGGTTGCGCAGGTCAGCGAATACTGGCCCATTCCACGACTTGCCACCATGAACGAGCAAGACATGCAAGCGGTGCTGTCTGGAGAGTTTTCAGACCATGTTCCCAAGCCAACAATACATGATCTTTCCAACCCTCCACCAATCGGTCGAATATTTCTCGTTGGATCAGGCCCAGGTCATCCATCCTTGCTCACAGTGGCAGCCCACCGACTACTCACAACCATCCCCGACCTTGTTCTCTCCGATAAACTTGTCCCCTCTGCCGTTTTGGCCCTGATTCCCCCAACTGTCGAAGTCCGCATTGCTCGCAAGTTCCCAGGCAATGCAGACGGAGCCCAAAGCGAGATGATGGAAGCTGCTGTTGAGGCTGCGCACAAAGGATTAACCGTTGTTCGGGTTAGTCTGTCAATTTTTTATTATCAGTCAACTCAAACGACTGTGCAGTTAAAGCAAGGTGATCCGGTTTTGTATGGACGAGCAGGCGAAGAGATCCTGTACTTTCGAGCCCGTGGATTCGAGCCGGTTGTTGTTCCCGGTGTTTCAAGTGCGCTTGCTGGCCCGACCTTCGCGGGAATCCCAGTCACCCAACGCGGGGTTGCGGACGCATTGAGTGTCTGCACTGGCGTTGGTCGGGCCGGGAAAGCCGGGTCTATTCCTATCTACGAACGGGCGAAAACAGTCGTGCTACTAATGGGCATCGCGAGATTGGCGAGTCTGGTCGAAACCATGCTTATCAAATATCCCGCAAATGTACCTGTGGCCATTGTCGAGCGAGCATCCATGCCAGACCAGCGGGTCCTTGTCTCCACGCTACAACATGTCGTTGCTGCGCTGGATAGTCTGGGGGAACAACGCCCGCCCGGTATCCTGATTGTCGGTTGGGCAGTGTTGGCATTGTGGGGACCTGGGGACGATTCAGTCCTCGATGAAGGTGCTGACGCTGAGGACAGCTCTCGTATCAGAAGATGGCTGGGGTCTGACGTCGACTGGCGAGTAACCGAAGGACTGCCAAATGGATGGGACTCCCTGTGATGACAACTTCTGAAGCTTTTTCGTAATATTGCAAACACTGGGTTGTTGGATGGAGTTCAAACTACTCGGGAACTACATATGCGGGAGGAAACGCCTTCCCGTTTGCTTTTGTCACCTCAAAACTCTCTAGGTCGATCCCATTCAGTGTCTGAACATTCAGCGCTCTGTTGGCGGGGTCTAGCTTAGTGCCTTCCGGACCAGCGAAGCGGATATAAACCACGACCCCGCATGTTTTGCAGAATGTGTGCTTCCCTTGCTTCGTGTTGAAGTCATATTCCGTCGTCTTGGTCTCCGCACCACGGACGGTGAGGTTGCTGGCCAAGATATAGGTCCACCTGGCGCCGTGGCGGGAGCAAATGCTGCAGTTGCATTCGCTGACCGTTGCGATCTTGTTTGGCTGGACGAGGGTGTAGGCCACGGCACCGCAATGGCAGCTCCCGTTGTAGACGGCTGAATCTGGCGGAGGTGCTTGAGCAGGGGCTGGGTGCGTTGGGGCTTGATAAATAGGCTCGATTTGAGACCCTTTGTAGTCGTTGATCGAGAGAGAGGCAAGGTCGATGTTCTCAATAGCGCGCATCTGGGTTGTTTGGTCAGCACGACACAACACAACAGAAATGATTCGTTGGTTGCGCACATTTACTACAGTTATCGATTCACTGCTGTTGATTATTGCGATGGAAGTACTGCATTTCGGACAGAACTGGACGGGTTAAGAATAACGCAAATGTTATCGCGGTCACACTGACCTTGTGCTCCCACAGGCGCGTTCCAAAGGTGTAGGACGAAAGTGTCGTTTGAAGATCCCCCTTGGTCGCCACGAACTCCCCATCCTTGACCAAGACATATCCGTTGCGGGAGCAGATGCTACAGTCGCAGGCCTGTGCGTGTTTGAGCTCATCAGCGGTGGTGAAGGTGAACTTGAAGGCGCCGCAGTGGCAGTTTCCGAGGTAAGCTGGCATGATGGTGGAGAGGGAAGAGCTCCAAGCTTGGGCTTAAATAATTCAGAGAGACCGGCTCACGATCACGGGATCATAGTGGCGGCGCTGGCGCTGGAACGCGGACGGCGTTGCAACGTCGCATAATTTTGACTGAGAAGGTTAGAGAGAGGTGTAACGCCCCTATCGATAAATTGAAGCTACGTTGATGCCGATACACAATCTGTAGCGCCGGCAAGCGGCGGTCCCCGACTCATTTGATAGCACCTTTATTTTATGATCATTCACAATAACTAGAAAATACCGGATACATACTCAGTATAAGTAGCGCTAAATTGGGTACATAAAAAATCACGAAGTAGCTCGGAATGTTCAGACATATCGGTTCAAGTTACGCATGGGTATTCTCCCTCACTGGAGCACTATAATGGTTCCAAGGCAGTGTCTCCACATCCTCTACCGAACCACCAGGCGGCCTGTCTGCGGTGAGTGTCTCGTCTCCACGACCTCATTCAGATCAAAAGACAACCACACGGTCCACACCATGCTGTAACGGCTAACAGTGAAGACTACACTGGCAGCAACGATGGAGTTAGCGGCCAGCTCTCTACCTGTGTAGGCAGGAAGCTTGCGATAATGGGGTCGAATGGAATGCAGCCCCGTCCATATGGCAACAGCCTCTGGACTATCAAAATTTTGACGTCGGAACATTGATGCGGTGTGATCAGGGACCCCAGCTACCTACATCTTAGCCTGTAACACTTGTGTACGAAGATGCCCAAAACCAAGCTACGTATGTGGACCACCCTCAATATATTGTTCTTAGCCTGTTTAGCCCCAGAAGACTGGTTCCATAAGAAAGTCGAGTACTACTGGCTATTCAACTGGAATGACGTTCAGATTGCAAAGGAGATTGAGCTGGATATGGTCAAGGAACTTCAGCTTGATTGTGAAAAGTATAGTGTGAGGTGAGTAAGAGATGTGAACTTGGAGAACACCTGAGACTAAGTCTTTAACAGCTACAAAAGTGTCTCTCGCGCACACAATAAACTACAACTACTGAACATCCGGCAACTGTAAGGGCAACCCTGGAGACTCCGACGAAAGCCTAGCAGGGGAGGATCCAAAGCGTGAATAAGACTACAGGAAATACACGGAGGGACCGACCTAGCAGGGGAGGATCCAAAGAGAAGAAACTCTAAGGGTCCGCCTGCTAGGGCGCCAACTATATACTGGTCGTCCGTAACTGCCGACGTAGAGCACAGAAGGCCTGAGCGGCGTCGCAGGCTCTGTCCCAAGGTGATCGTTGGGAGGGTCTTGACGGATCGGTGATTGTGCGGGCGAAGGAGGCCGTGGACGATGGTCGGGGTGGGTCGGAGCGTCCGAGGGGGCGCCGGTCGGATGCGCCTCGGATGCGTTCGGAGGGTCCGAAGGAGGCCGAAGCGGGGGTTCCCCTGACAGCAATGAGAGGCAGCTGGGCTGGGGGATGAGTTTAAAGCACTTGTCCGAAGCATTCGTGTATCTTACCCTCATATGGGTGCTCGCACACTTGTCGTCACACTCCGTCGTGAACATAAAGTCAAGGTTGCTGAGTACATATTCTGATTGTGGATAATTACAGGTCTAACCAGACTTGAAGGCGTATCATTCTGGCATATCTGCATGAATTTGAGCCAGCTGCAGTCAAATCACGCAAACATCGTGCTAAATTTGTCCGTGGACGGTTTTATAGTGCTGGACCTCGCGAGATTGTTAGCTTCGACCAACATGATAAGTGGCGGTACTATGGTCTATTTCTTCATCTGGGTCTTGATCCCTTCACTGGCGAGTTTCTTTGGGTCAAGATATGGTGGACAAATCGCAACCCAGTCCTAATTACAAGCTATTATCTTGAGGCTATGCGAAAGGATAGAGGTACTGTTAATTCTTGATGTTATCGAAACTTATCTTCTCTTTAGGTGTTCCACTCCTCACTTTTAGTGATCCAGGACGGGAGAATAATGGCATTGCCAATGTGCACTCAACAATTTGCCAGCGTCTTGATCCGTCACTTGAAGGAACGGTTCAGCACAAGGGGTTTTTTGACAAAATGAACATCAAATCCGAGATCGGCTGGTCTATAATACGACAAAATTTTGCTCCAGGATTCGAGTCACTTATGAACCAAGGTGAAGCGTTGGGATATATCGATTTCAAGACACCGACTCCAGTTGAAACGTATGATTGTCTACATTTTGAATACATCTAATATCTGCTTATTATAGATATCTCTTTCGATGGCTTGCTATTCCTTGGCTGCAGGCAGAGCTCAATGCTTGGGTTGACCGATTCAATAACAGTCCTCGTCGCTCAAACCGACACAAAATTTTACCACAGGGAATTCCGAGTCAGATTCATCGAAACCCTGAACGATTCAATGCAAGGAACTATATGGTATTGTAAGGGCAACCCCGGAGGCCTGAGATCAAGGTCCTAGCAGGGGAGGATCCAAAGCGTGAACATTGGTAAGCGAATACAAATGAAGCTGACCTAGCAGGGGAGGATCCAAAGAGAAGAAACTCTAAGGGTCCGCCTGCTAGGTAGCTGACTATATACTGCTTGTCCGTAGCTGCCGCTGTCGGGCACAGAAGGCTTGGGCGGCGTCGCAGGCGAGGTCCCAGGGCGACCGTCGGGAGGGCGTTGACGGATCGGTGATTGTGCGGGCGAGATGGAGGGCCGGACCGGAGTCGGAACCGGAGTCGGACCGGAATCGGGTGCGTCTCCGGGCCGAAAGGGAGGTTCCCCTGACACTTCTGGGACAATCTCCAGGAAGCTGTGACTCGCGTCAACGAGATAGTTGGATCCTAAGCTATCGTCGTCCCAGTAATTTCGGGTTCGAGTCCGGGCTTCTTCCGACTGGAGTCCAAGCTCTTCGCCTTGGTAGCCCACGTTACCGTGGCCCTGAAGCAGATACTACAAGGGTTGGAGGAATTGACAGATTCGGAGCGCCGCACTCCGTTCCAAGCGGACTATGGCTACCAGATCCTATCCGTGTTGCTCAGAACGGAGGACGCCGATCGGGTGCTCATGGCGCTCGGCACCATGCAGCTCAGGGTAGCAGCTGCTGACAACTGCATTTCACGCACTCTCCTCCGTCTCCGGAATTCCAGCGAGGCGGACGAAGTCAGTTCGCTCGCCTCTACCCGCTCGGAGGTTCGACGCTTGCATGAATCAGCCGATGTGGATCTTTCGCTGCAAATGTATTAGGCGCGGCTGGATTACCAGCCGTACCTGGAGCAATACAACCCATCAGCATGGGGAAAAGCTAGATCCTCATTTGAAACCAGTGACGACGGGTACGGCAAGCCGTATCGCTCTTTGAAACTGCCTATACATCCAAATCCACCTAAGATTAGCCAATACTCTTACGTCCCTACTGCTCCTCCGAACGACGAGCAGTCTCATGGCGTGCGTTTTGCAAATAATCCCGGCAGCTCAGTTCCTCCGTTGTCGCATCGTCCCATACCAGGGCCTTCCTCCACCACCAGAGCGGGAGTGCGTAACCTGATGGGGGGGGCAGCCGTACCTGGGGGGCCATCGATGATGCAGCCGGACTACACGCCGCCGTACTCGGGGATAGGGACGTCAGGCCGACCTCCCTACATTCCTCGCACTCCCGCGAGAAGCTACGCCGCTTCCTTTCAGAATGAAGCGAACCCGCCGTTCAACGCCAATACCCTGCGTCAAGGAGCTGGGGGTGCTCCCGGCTACCCCGGAGGCGGATCTTCTAACGGTTCTTCCCATGGTGGCGGAGGACGTCCACCTCCTCGAGGGGGACCGTTTGGACCATCAGGTCCGCCGGGCCGGCAACCACCCGGGGGTCCGCCTGGTCCGCCTGGTCCGCCTGGTCCGCCGGGATGGTATCCGCCGGGAGGACCGCCTGGCCCTCCTGGTCCACCGGGTCAGTGGACGGGACCGCCCTGGATTCCAGGTCGCCCGCCGGCGGCTCCCCCGCCTCCTCCTCCACCGCCGCCTCCTCCTCTCAACGCCGCTTTCCCCTTCCAGCAGGGCCAAGGAGGGCAGCCGCAACCATTCCAGATTAACGTTAAAATCAATGCTTCCAACCTGCCAAAATGGGACGGGAACCGCGACTCGTTGATTCGCTACCTAGTGGAAATGAAGGAGGTGGCTAGATTGGGCCCCCTCATGCAAGTTCAGATGGCGCAGCTCGCACACCGTAATTGGGAGGGTTCGGCCAAGAGTTGGTGGGAAGTCCTTCCGGATGACCGGAAGAACTTGTACCAGTCGCATTGGCAGCAACTCCTCCAAGGTATCACCGACCAATTTATGTCTGATCGCTGGGAGCGAGAGGAGATTCGGCGATTCGAAGCTATGGTCTTTCGCCAGAAGGATCACGAGACAGAGGATCCCGTCGAATTCTTCCAGAGGAGAATCCTACATGCCCAATTCCTATATGCGCAAGAATCCCCCGCCAACCTGGTTCATCGCGTGCTGCATACGCAACCTCAAGCCTGGAAGGAAACCTTAGACGAGTACCGATGCCCCACTATTACTCAAGTTCTACAACTCTCGGAGCACTACCGAGAGCCCCTTATTCACTCCTGGGAGACGGCCGCCTTCCTACGAACTCTTAAGAAGTCATCCGCTCATAGCGTGCCCGGTGATGGGTCAGCCAACACTAAACGTCGCTACTTCCGACGAAAAGCTCAAGCCAATATAGTTACTTCTGGATCTCCAGAAGAACTAGAGCTTACGGAGGATGAGTGGGAGGAAATTGACTCGGAGGAGGAACTTCGTGAAGTCATGGCCGTGAACTCGTGGAAACCCAAGGACAAGGGCAAGGCAGACTGGCCCCGGGGAGGCGAACGAAAGGGAGTCAAGTTCACCCGGGACGATTCAGTGAAAAGTAACCCTCCTCCAAGGGGTGACTGCTTCATCTGCACCAGTCCAAACCACTTCGCCTATGACTGCCCGAAAAAGAAATTATGGGAGTCAGTGCGATCGGCTAATTTGGCGCACGCAGTATCCTCTTTGGTGGA